CAAGGCTGCCGAAGTTGGAAGGCACTTGACCAGTTTTCAACCAACTTTGTGGTTTGGAAGGAATTCGCACTGATCGCTGTCGCGTCGATGCACAAAGGCACACACGCAAAGAAATGTCCACAACCCTCCCTGATTTGTTTTTGGCAGTGAACCATCTTGCCATCCTCTGGCTTCGACACGCTACCCCATTGGCCGGTACACCTGGCGCTTATCCTGCGCATGGAATTCCTCTACACAACGGAGAGTGGAACTCGGCTCACATGCCCCCAATAGAGCGAGCCCAATTCTTTCAGGCCGTAAGCTGAGCCGATGGAAAACCAAAAGCAACACGGAACGTTCAACACACAGAAACGTGATCCTTCTGACAGTGCAAGATCACTGTGGAATCACCTTTGTATCAGCTGGGTCATCAAAACCCGGTGATGAAATGGTTGACCCAGAACCATGCTTCAAGAATTAAGAAGGCGGATATCCGCAGCCATTTATGGCAAGGGGATTGACCCTTACTAACCTTCATCTACCCGTGCTTTGAGCATGTGGCTCAGCTGAGGAAAACACCATCAACTTTCTGCGCGATCTCCGCCGCATCACCCACAGCTGCAGTGTCAAAGTAGCGGGCCCCCCAAAACGATTGGCGTCGCATGATCATTTTCCCTTAAGGCCAACCCTTCAGGAAACCCCCCAAAATGGGATCGATCGATTTCATCTTTGCTCATGCTTCATCAGCGCAGGATATAGCAGGGCTGCCCATATTTTTCCCCTGAAAACATCACCCCCACCAAGTGATACTCACCTTTCGTCCGAGAAGTTGATGTTTAAAGCCACCAAAAAGGGAAATCGCTCGGGCTTCCCCTGCTTACCCTGGGCTTCGGTTTGAGTGCTGGGGCCGCCGGGCTGGGGTGGCTCTCGATCATGTCCACGGCCTCGTGGAGGCTCTTCATGGTGTCCTCTCCCCCCCGTTGCACGGCTGTCGTGTTTTGAGGCAAAGGTCCTTTTCTGCGGTTGCTTTAAAGGAAAAGCAAAGGGGAACACATGATTTTACGGGGACTGGCCTATTTTAAGGCACATGAAGGAAACAGCATGTTTCAGATTCCGGAGGAGACCCCAGTTTTGGTCGGTGAAGGGAAACAAACCCGCCAAAACCACCCCCCTGCCCTCCAAGACCAACCCCCGGCCCAAAGACGCAGAGGGTGTCTAAGACGTATTGAGAGACCAACGCAAACAAGGACCAGGCCTTGAACGATGGGGGAGATGACAGGGTCCTTGAAGACAAACGCTCGGCGGACAACGGGGTAACTGTCATCCGGGCCAATCCAAACAAGTCTCCGTCATGCACCCTCGGGTTACATGACCTCAGTCTTTCATTTCTAGACGCCTTCGGGCTAGGGCCCACCAAGCACAAGCTGAGTGGATCCGCAAAAGTCCAAGCAAATTTGCCATCTAAGTATTTTCAATCCAGGAACTTGGGGACGAGGGAAACGGGTGAACTGCCAACCAACAAAAACCAAATGATGTTTGATTCGGCTGAACTTTGGTAGAAAAGCAAAAAAGGCTTCCAGTACAGGACATCCTCAGATCAGCTGGGTACTTGCCCAGCTCCAGCCACGCCTACACCGTCCAGGATTCGGACCCCGTGCAGTTTGGCCCCAAGGATGGTGAATTTAGGCATAGGCTTATTCCTGGGCTGGGGTTGGGCCAAACCTTCAGAAGAAAGGCATGCTGTTCGACGCACCTTGCTTAAAGAAGTTTCAGGGGCCCAGGGTCTTACCCTGCCGCCCCCTGTCCTTGCCAGCGTCCGTGTTGTAGGATGGCATGATCCTCAAGCGACTAACTGCAAGGTGTGGAAATTGCAACCACTTCTGCAATACCAATGGAAAGCCTTCCAAATGTTCAACGGCGAAAATTCTGCAGAAGCGAAGGTCCGCTGGTACAGAAGTGGGAACCAACCCTGACTCGCAAAAATGGCCGCGCGATTTTCCTTTTGGACCCCCCCCCGCAACTGTTAAGGCCTTGTTTGGCCTTGTTTCGGCTGAATGGGCCCTTTCAGGGAGGGGGTGTGTCTGTAGGGTTCATTCAAGCGAAAGGCGTTGCAGGGAAGCCCTGCCCTCTTACCCTGCTCTGATTCTGCCCTTGACGTTCGTTCAGCTTACTAGGTCCACCCTTGGTGTCTTAAATCGATCGCAATTCATCATCTCACGTGCTGAATGGTGTTTAGCGGCCATAGCGGCTTGAAAGAGGCTTATTCCAAATATTCCCCCTTAACCTTTGGCGGGAGGTCTTTGGTGAGGGGTCACTGTTTTGCCCAGTTTGGCAGAAACAGCTTGCATGTTTCTTCTCGGGGAACCCCAACCACTGAACAACTGGTGGCACGGGCTTCCACGCCCGGGGATGCGGAAGAGCGCTCCAAGGCCATTCCTCTCCAACCACTGCGCCTCGCGACTCGCGACTCGCGACGGAGAGCTCCCGACTTGTTGATCGATTCAGGGACCAGAGGGTTCTCGAGAACTCATGACAGGGGTGGCTATAAACTTCAAGTGGATTTGTTTGCGCCCCCAGAGGAGACAGATTTCGACGTCGAATATGAAGCTCTCAATAGGCCCTACCCAAGACCCATAGGGTTTGGGCACCCTGGACAAGATTCTATCTCCGGCTTCCCTTGAATGCCTTGAAAGTTTATTGTCTGTGTGTAACCAATGTTGCCCCACCCTTAAAAGCAACCCCTGAAACGTTCTTGGGAAGTCTTCTTCAGGGTAGAATCCAAAGTATGAAACTTGGGCCTTGGATTGCAAGAACCCTGTCCTTGTTAAACAAGGAGTCCCATCAAGGCTGGGCGGGCCTTCACCGGCCAACCCTCTGCGGAGATTGTGCGTGTCGAAGGGCTGCGGCGCCGTGCGAATTTGTCTTGAGCTCGGCAAACTCTCTGTGGAGATCCTGCGTGTCGAAGCGCTCTCGCTGTGGCGCCGTGCGAATTTGTCTTGCTCTCGGCGAACCCTCTGCGGAGATTGTGCGTGTCGAAGCGCTCTGGCTGTGGCGCCGTGCGTATTTGTCTTGCTCTCGGCGAACCCTCTGCGGAGATCCTGCGTGTTGAAGCGCTCTCGCTGTGGCGCCGTGCGAATTTGCCTTGAGCTCGGCAAACTCTCTGCGGAGATGCTGCGTGTCGGAGTCGAAGCGCTCTCGCTGTGGCGCCATGCTTTATGCGTCTTGCTCTCGGCGAACCCTCTGCGGAGATCCTGCGTGTCGAAGCGCTCTCGCTGTGGCGCCGTTTGATCTTTCTGTTTTCTTTGCTTGCGAATCTGTTTGGAAGTTGTCTCGTGGGGTTCGCGCGTCTGCTTTCACGATCGCGCGTTAGTACGCACAGCGCAGCTCCGGCACGACAGTCGCAAATTGTAAGTACAAAAATTAGTGTGAGAAGCCTGACAATTTTTCAAATCGCAAGTTTTAAGTAGTACGCGAAGAGCAAAGTAGTACGCGAAGAGCTTGCAGAGGCGCGGCTGCGAAATCGTAAAATGTAAGTACAAAAGTAGCACGCCAAGCGCGCTCCCGCAGCTCCGGCTGACAATTCGCAAGTTTTAAGTACAAGCACGTGAAGAGCATGTCCAGAGGCGCGTCTGCCAAAACGCAAATTGTAGGTAAAAGTTTTCCTACAGCTTGCGAGTGGCTTTAAAAGCAACATCTTGGGCGATCGGCCAGCCAGTTCGCAAGAAGGAGTGCCGGGCAGCTTGTTGCGCCCGGAGGCGAACTTACCCAGCCAAGGTAAATCACAAGCAGAAAGCCGAACTTTTCTCGTAGTTTGCCCGCAGTTTTGCCACACTTTGCGTAGACCCATTTCTATGAATTCGGTCTGTTCTGTTAGTCTAAACCGCATCTTTCGACATGTCGATTCTGCTTCGAAAACCTGTCGATTTGGTAGACGTTTCTGTCGATTCGGTAGATTTGTTTAAACTATTAGTTTAATTTCGGGGCTACTTTTTCGACAGTTTTGTCGTTCTACACGGATTTTGTCCCAAACTATTCAATTCTGAGTTAGATATTCAATGATTTCGGGATTCGGCCGTTTTTGGTCTATTGGGTACGCGAAGCGCACTCCCGCAGCTCCGGATGACAAATCGCAAGTTTTAAGTACCAAGGTAGTACGTGAACAGCATTTCCAGAGGCGCGGCTAAAAGTAGCACACGAAGTGCGCTCCCGCAGCGCTTCGGCTGAAAATTCGACAAGCTTTAAGTACAAAAATTCGTAGAACTTTCAGAGAGCTCCGGCTGCAAAATCGCAACTTTTCTGTGCAAAAGTGGCGCGCGAAGCGCGTTCCCATGGCTCCGGCCAAAGTTGTACGCGAAGCGCATTCCCGCAGCAGCTCCCGCTCCTGCTGCAAAGTCGCAAGTGTTTTCGGGTAAAGGTTGCGTGCGAAGCGCGCTCTCGCAGCTCCAGCTCGAACATCGCAACTTCAATTTTTAAGCGCCATGTGATGTTCGGAAAGTGCCCTCTCGCATCTCCAGCTCGAAAGTCGCAACTTGCAGGCGCAAACGTAGTGCGCCAAGTACACTTCTGCAACTAAAACCGCCAGCCTTCTTGCGCAGCCAAAACTGCACTCAGATATGGACAACAGACGTTGACAAGAGAAAGGGACATGAAAGGTTGGGTGAGAGACGTTGCACAGCATCATGCGCCAGAGGGACCGTCACGCGTAGCATCATGCGCAGCATCATGCACGGCGTCGTGCGCAACGTCACGCGCAGCATCGTGTGCAACATCACGCGTAGCTTCACACGCAGCAGCGTCAAAACACAGCGTAGCACGCAAGAGAAGTTGACAGAATGAAGATATTTTTTCGAAGCGCGGCGCCAAGCTTGCTCATCAGAACTTGCAGCAGCTACGAAGGGACATTGATGTGTTTACGCTTGTTTCTCAGATGCAGTGGGAAAGGTGTCAGAGTTTATTTAACGTCGTCGTCAAATTAAACCCAATACTATTTGGGGTCTCTTGGGGGATTTCGGGTTCGGGGCCGGGCGTGTCGTGTCCGCTCTAGGAAAAGGGGGGGTGGGTCCACTATATTCAACGCGCACCCAAACAAAACTGCGTGTGGGTGTGTGGGCCGCGTGCGCCTGCGCGTGCACATGCGGAACAAGTTTACCCGTGAATGACCAAGTAAAACCGTGAAAAAACCATGAAATAGGACCCCGGATAAACAGGGCGTACGATGGGCAGCTTGGGCTAGCCATAGCGCGCTTGGTGCACGCAAATATGACTTTGGAAGTCTTGGGGGAGCGCTGCAAAAGAACATTTGCCGATGCTGCACGCAAGCCGGACCTTTGGGCATGTGTCGGCAGCATACATGTGCACACACACACCTGCCAGGAAATTGTGTCTGCAGCAAATGTCTGCATGTATTTGGAAGCTCAAAGCTTCAAAAAATCTAGAAGGCATGAGATGGCGTCTCAAAGTCATAAAGCTTAATCGATCCTGACTTAAAGGTGGTCACACGTGCCTGGCTGAAGCCTTGAAACCGGAAAACGGTTTGCCCTAGTTTTGCTGGAATTTTGTGGGTTGGCCAAGTAAAACTTGGCCAAGGGGATGTGAACCGCAGCGTACTCAGGGCACACTATTGGGGGGGGAGTTCGCGTTCGGGTTCGAAATCGGGTTCCGGGCTGGGAGGGGGTAGGGGAGGTTCACGGGTTCGGGTCGGGTTCCTGGCCAGGAGTGTCCGCTTGGCAGGGCGGGTTCGGGTTCGGGTTCGGGTTCGGGTTCGGGTTCGGGTTCGGGTTCGGGTTCGGGTTCGGGCTCGGGGCCAGGCATGTCCGCTCTGGGGGGGCTCGGATTCGGGTTCGGGTTCAGGTTCGGGTTCGGGATTCTTTCTTTCTTTCTTTTTTTTTGGGGGGGGGGGTTCGGGTTCGGGTTCGGGTTCGGGTTCGGGTTCGGGTTCGGGTTCGGGTTCGGGTTCGGGTTCGGGTTCGGGTTCGGGTTCGGGTTTCGGGTTCGGGTTCGGGTTCGGGTTCGGGTTCGGTTCGGGTTCGGGTTCGGGTTCGGTTGTTGTTGTTGTTGTTGTTGTTGTTGTTGTTGTTGTTGTTGTTGTTGTTGTTGTTGTTGTTGTTGTCGTTGTTGTCGTTGTTGTCGTGTCGTTGTTGTCGTTTGTTCATTGTCGTTGTCGTTTGTTTGTTGTTGTTGTGTTGTTGTTGTTGTTGTTGTTGTTGTTGTTGTTGTTGTTGTTGTTGTTGTTGTTGTTGTTGTTGTTGTTGTTGTTGTTGTTGTTGTTGTTGTTGTTGTTGTTGTTGTTGTTGTTGTTGTTGTTGTTGTTGTTGTTGTTGTTGTTGTTGTTGTTGTTGTTGTTGTTGTTGTTGTTGTTGTTGTTGTTGTTGTTGTTGTTGTTGTTGTTGTTGTTGTTGTTGTTGTTGTTGTTGTTGTTGTTGTTGTTGTTGTTGTTGTTGTTGTTGTTGTTGTTGTTGTTGTTGTTGTTGTTGTTGTTGTTGTTGTTGTTGTTGTTGTTGTTGTTGTTGTTGTTGTTGTTGTTGTTGTTGTTGTTGTTGTTGTTGTTGTTGTTGTTGTTGTTGTTGTTGTTGTTGTTGTTGTTGTTGTTGTTGTTGTTGTTGTTGTTGTTGTTGTTGTTGTTGTTGTTGTTGTTGTTGTTGTTGTTGTTGTTGTTGTTGTTGTTGTTGTTGTTGTTGTTGTTGTTGTTGTTGTTGTTGTTGTTGTTGTTGTTGTTGTTGTTGTTGTTGTTGTTGTTGTTGTTGTTGTTGTTGTTGTCTCTGTTGCTGTTGCTGTTGTTGTTCTTATTGTTGTTCTTGTTGTTGATCTGGTTGTTGTTCTTGTTGTTGTTCTTGCTGTTGTTCTTGCTGTTGTTCTTGCTGTTGTTATTGTTGTTGTTCTTGTTGTTGTTCTTGTTGTTGTTATTGTTGTTGTTCTTGTTGTTGTTCTTGTTGTTGTTCTTGTTGTTGTTCTTCTTATTCTTGTTGTTGTTGTTGTTGTTGTTGATGTTGCTGTTGCTGTTGCTGTTGCTGTTGCTGTTGCTGTTGCTGTTGCTGTTGCTGTTGCTGTTGTTGTTGTTGTTGTTGTTGTTGTTGTGGTTGTGGTTGTGGTTGCGGTTGTGGTTGTGGTTGTGGTTGTTGTTGTTGTTGGTGGTGGTGGTGTTGGTGTTGGTGTTGGTGTTGTTGTTGGTGTTGGTGTTGGTGTTGGTGTTGGTGTTGGTGTTGTTGTTGTTGTTGTTGTGGTTATCGTTGTCGTTGTCGTTGTCGTTGTTGTTGTTCTTGTTCTTGTTCTTGTTCTTGTTCTTGTTCTTGTTCTTGTTCTTGTTCTTGTTCTTGTTCTTGTTCTTGTTCTTGTTCTTGTTCTTGTTCTTGTTCTTGTTCTTGTTCTTGTTCTTGTTCTTGTTCTTGTTCTTGTTCTTGTTCTTGTTCTTGTTCTTGTTCTTGTTCTTGTTCTTGTTCTTGTTCTTGTTCTTGTTCTTGTTCTTGTTCTTGTTCTTGTTCTTGTTCTTGTTCTTGTTCTTGTTCTTGTTCTTGTTCTTGTTCTTGTTCTTGTTCTTGTTCTTGTTCTTGTTCTTGTTCTTGTTCTTGTTCTTGTTCTTGTTCTTGTTCTTGTTCTTGTTCTTGTTGTTGTTGTTGTTGTTGTTGTTGTTGTTGTTGTTGTTGTTGTTGTTGTTGTTGTTGTTGTTGTTGTTGTTGTTGTTGTTGTTGTTGTTGTTGTTGGGGGTCGGGTTCGGGGTCGGGTTCCTGTTCGGGTTCGAGCGGGGTACTCATATATTGTTGAAGGGAGTGGGTGGAGTCTCTGAGTACAGCAAGCTTGCATCCTCGACTTGTGGAATTCAGGTTGTGTGGAAGATGCCTTTCTGTGACTCAGAGCCTTTCCCCAAAACTAAATCTTCACACTTCACCTAAAGGGGGTCAGGTTAGGTTCCCTGATCACAAAAGTCGGAAGCAACCCCTCGGTCCCACCCTGCACGTGGGACTGTTCGTTGACAAGCAAATAGGTGGTTAGCTCTCTGGGTAGTAACCACTCACTTCTTGCGTGCATCGGTCGGAAAGAGACCTGACTGATTCACCAGGCAAGACCAACTTACGGTTCACTCCACTTGGGAGAGGGCAAGCTAACCACTCAGTGGGTTGTCAGTTTTGGTTGAAGGTTCAGGACTTCGATTCTACAACGAGATTCGAGATGCCATGACTGCTGAATTACCGCGAGTGGTTGGTTTACCCCCAATTTTCCACCATGCAAACCAAGTCCTCTCTGAATTCACCTGAGTGGCCCCAAAATATCTCCAACTTTTCCGGGGTGTCCGTGAAAGTAACCGCTTGATTGCCTCAACCTCAAAGGGTGTAGACTAGGGGGATTGGCATCTGCTATCCCCTCACAAAAACCCTGGAAAAAGCCGGGCAAACCGTTTCTTGCCTTACTTGGCCTTTACGGCTTAACCCCCTAAAAATCTTTGGGGGGTGGCTGTAGAATCCCTTCATTGCAGGTGATAGAACACAAATCTAGTACGACTAAGACCCATTTAAGAGGTTTATAACCCGAATTGGGTCTGTCTCAAAATGGGGAAGCCTCAAAATGGTTGGCTTCCCTTTGACTCCCTAAAAGAGACAACCCTAAAAGGGTAGAAAAAAAGACATCCTCATTCACCAAAGCATTCCGCCAGATCGGGTCAGAGCCGGCTCGAACCGCCTGCTTCATGTAGTCGTGGGAATACTCTGCCGGATTCTCAGGACGGACCTGCGGATGTTCAACCAACTTAGTAAATAGGTTTCCATGGCTATGACTTGGGTAGCTGGGGCTGATCCCCTTATAAACATGGTCATAACCTACTTACCAAGCTGGGAAAATTTGAATCGCTCGTTGGGCTGAGCCCGAATCGGGTCGGGAGTGAGATTCGGAGCCTAGGTCCTCTCCCTCACTCCCCCAGCAACCGCATAAATCCAGGCTTGGGCCACCCTGTTTAAACATAAAAGGAATCAACAGTCTCAACAACCTCCTTTCCTAGGCTGCCCTCAGATCCCCCGCTAAAAGTGCCTAACTTTTAGTGGGTCAAATGGAAACTACCACTAAACACTAAAAGGCTAAAAAGCTAAGCGGATGGCTGGGAGCCACCAAGTTTCGGCTTCCCTCTAAAGCGGCCAGGTGGTGGTGCTTTCAGTTGCCCCGCATGAGCAGAACCTCTGCGGCAAATGTGCTTTCCTCTTTCTTGAGTGATCTTCAGCCTCAGTCAAGCTCCAAAGCAGTGGACTATCCTCCCAACAGGCAAACACACGCAGCTTGCTACCTGCCACATCTTGAGCCTCCTTGCGCCACACTTTTGTGGCAGCCTGAATCTTAGCGACGCGCCTTGCATCTACTAGCGACTTCACCAATCAAACTTGGAAAAGCGCCGGGCAAGCTCCAACAGCTTCTGCTTCTAAAACAACCGCCAGAGGTACCAATGAGATGCAACAGTTCCTTGCCGGTACACGTCGCACAATGCGACACCGCCAACATTTGTGCGCGCGTGTGGACTCAAAGAACCCCCTTCTTGCCTTTGGGGTGGGGTGCAGCAAGGCTCGCCTAAGCGGATGAGCTCCTCAACGGACCCCCCCCCCCCCCGCCCCAAACCGTCGCGAGGGTTTTGCGAGGGTTCTGGGGATGCACGGGGCGGTTCCCGAGGGTTCCGCGAACGAGAGGGCTCCGGGAACGCAAGGAACGGGTCCGAGGAGAGTTCCGCCAGGGCAGGTGTGTCGAGAGGTTGGGGATATCACTTGATGTTTATCACTTAGGAGATTCTCTCGGTACAGCAACAGCCGTACCCTAGGGTTCAGCCCCCATTAAAAGAATGGTCCCGATTTAGATGAAGACAAATTCTTAGGTAAGCCATGGTGGTCACATGAACTCCCATTCCAGGGCATACTGATGAGGACAACGTCGCAAAGGTTGATGGCTCCCACGGGCCTGGTAGGTCAAAAGCTTCATGGTGTTGGTGAAGGCCGAATTTTGGCCTTTCACCCCGAACATGATCGACCTCGGCAAGGTCCAACCAAGGTCCAACCAAGCCGGAGACCCGGACGAATTCGGCAAATCGGCATCTTCGATTGGTGGGTTCCTTGGAGGTGTGGTAACAAACTGGTTCCATTCATTGACCATGGTCAAAGTCGCCCCCCCCCCCCCAAAGTTGAAGGGAAAACACCCCCGCAGTTGCTGACTTTGACCACCCCCCAAAGTCTAAGTCATGACCCCAGAGAACATTTGTCTACTTATTGAACGGGTTTGTACTGCCCTGCCAAAGGACCTGTCAAATCCATGGCAACTGTCCTTCGCGCACGTGAGGACTCGGTGAGCGGCGGATGCTGTGGATGGACCCAACTGACCAAATCCTGCACCAGTGGGTGGGTTTCATCCAACTGATGTAAGAACTTGTCCATCCACAGTATGCCCACCAACCGATCTAAACAACAGAACGCGGGTTCCATCGACCTTCTTAAAACTGATAGGGTATGGCTTGCTTTTGGGTTGTCAGTAGGGAATCATAAAATAGGCCTAGACAGCCTAGCCACCATCCTTTTTACGGGAGCCTCGTTCATTGCCCAAACCCTCACACTTCGCTACTGAGAATCAGCAATATGGTCCCAAACAGGTGGGTTGCAAAAAAGAAGCGGGTCCAGCGAGGGACCCGACATCCCAGCATCTTTGGGACGGACCACCCAAGACTAATACCCTGGAAAAACAAGTGCGTTGCTCATGTGAATAATTGACAATGTTGCTTCCCCATGGCTCATGTGGGTCCGAGGGTCCTCCTGGTTTTCTAAGCAACCAAAGAAAACTGGGTCCCCATGTCTTCCCCGGTGGCAAACAAAGCCGAAAGCGCCTAAATCCTCCCAAGATCAACCCGATGTTTCCTTGGGACTTCCAAAATCAAATCCTGATTGCCAAGAAGTCCATGGACAACGACTGGACAAGCAAGTGGGTTCCTAAAAGTTATGGCACCATATTGGGTGCGTCTTTCTTTCAGGATACCCGTTGCAGGACATCTTAAGATGACCAACTGGGGAGCAGCCATCTTGGTGCAATATGCATGGATATGTTGTGAATCACTTCCCCCCTGGCTGAACTCCTGTAATTCTCCCGACTCCCATGCCCCAAAGCGCACCCTCTGGGCCATCCTGGCAGCATCAAGAAAATGATGGAGATGCCCGTGCAAAGGTAGAAGCAGTACACGATGAACCCGGGACCTTCTTTGCCGGAAGCTGACCAAACTTTCTAGATTTCCTTGGAAATTCAGATTTTCAGATTCTGTGTCATATTAAATTCCTATCGTTGTTTAGGCCAGCCAACCCCCCCCCCTCCAACTAATAGCGGCCAATAAAGCGTTTGAGGGGCAAACTGCGTTTTTTTTGGGTGCATTGGGTGCGGGCCCGGTGGCCCAGTGACGCTGACGCGGCGCGCAAAGCTCCTGGATTTCACTCGGTCTCGGAGGGATTCACCCTTTTGTGGTCGAGATGGGCCTTTTGAAAAATCGGGTTCGAATCTTGGTGCGGTTCGCATTCGGGCAGCGGCTGTTTGGTGGATACTGCGGCAGCTGTTCAGAAAGCTGCTTTTGCGCATCACTTGCAAAATCTTCGGCTGGCATTATCATTGTGTGCATTTGGCTTTTCGACAGCGGGCCTGTCCTCAGCATCACCTAGTGTTCGGAGAGCTGAAAATGTTGGGACCGAAAATCAGGAGGCATGCTGAAGATTGCCCCCTCACTTCGGAATGGTCTTCAAGTAAACAGGTCAGGTCGGGTAGGGCGGGTTTTTTCTTCAGGGCACCGGGCCCTCACGCTCGCTGAACATCTTCCCTCGCATTCACACCGAGACCAGCGCAATCCTCCTTGAAGGACACACTCATCAGCGCCCCTGGCACTGGGTTTTTTGGAGGAACCCGCAAACCACCAAACGAATCCCCCACAAAAATTGAGGCCATTGGCATTTTTGGGCATTCATGCCCACAAATGCTATGTTCGTGGGAGGAAGGGTAGATTCTGGTTCACAATTTAGTTACCCTTAGCACGTCCCAATTGTCATTTCAGCAGAGGTCGTCAGCCGCAGAGTTGTAGCCCTGACTTCCTGTTCAAAAAAGCCCTTCGTACAGCCACAAATTAGTCGTATTTTGGGAAAACACGGGAGGCTTAACTTGTACCAAGGACATTTTCAGCCTCCCCCCGAAAGACCCCCCTAATGACTGCCCACTATAAACCATCCCATTCCTTCGCCATGTGTTTCAACATGTTTGTTGGAGGGGCAAAGCCTCAAACATCGCCTCGCCTGCCTTCATTTGTCCCCAGACTTGTTAAGCTCTGAGGGAAGCCCGCGGGGTTTCGCGAAGTTTGTTTTGTTTGGGTTCCGATTTTGTTTGCGAGGAAACAGGTGCATGTCCCCGTTTCTTCGAACGCTCAAAGTTGGCAGTTGGGTTTCCAGTTGGTGTTTCTGTAAAATTATCCAAACACAAATGTTGTTCTTCTAAAACCCATACAAGGCGATGGGGAAGGACCTGAAACTGATTTTAATAATCATGACACAATCACAAAATACTGAGCCCAGTCATAGCTGACAAACGGTGTGAAAACCACATCACCGTAAATCAAGCAAGGACTCACATGGTGGCAGAGTTCCTCCCTTTATGCGTGGGAAGGTCTTGCAATATGACAGTGCGCGCGTCAAATGGGGCGCACAAAGACTTACGGTTCCCTGACAGACACACACAAACACAAAAACAAATGCGTACACACAAACACAAACAGACAAACACACACACACACGAACACACACACACACACCCACCCAGCCACCCACCCACGCACGCACGCACGCACAGACAGACACAAACACACACACACACAGAGACAGAGAGACAGACAGACAGACAGACAGACAGACAGACAGACACACGGAGAGACAGACAGACAGACAGACACAGACACAAACACAAACACAAACACAAACACAAACACAAACACAAACACCAACAGACACACCAGGAATCACCAGACACAGACACACCACACATCGCACCAAATACACGCACACGCGCACACAAACACAAGCACAAACACAAACACAAACACACAAACACACACACACACACACACACACAAACTCTCACACACACACACACACTCACACACCCGCACACCGCACACAAACACACACCACACAGGCACCCAAACACGCACACACACAAACACGGACGCACACACACACCACGAACCACACGCACACACAAGCACACCACGCACACACAAGCACACCACGCACACACACACACACACACACACACAGACACAGACACACAGACACACAGACACACAGACACACAGACACACAGACACACAGACACACAGACACACAGACACACAGACACACAGACACACAGACACACAGACACACAGCCACACAGCCACACAGCCACACAGCCACACAGCCACACAGACACACAGACACACAGACACACACACACAGAGACACAGACACACAGACACACAGACACACAGACACACAGACACACAGACACACAGACACACAGACACACAGACACACAGACACACACACACACACACACACAGACACACACACACAGACACAGAGACACAGAGACACAGAGACACAGAGACACAGAGACACACAGAGACACACACAGACACAGAGACACAGAGACACACACAGAGACACAGAGACACAGAGACACAGAGACACAGAGACACAGAGACACAGAGACACAGAGACACAGAGACACAGAGACACAGAGACACAGAGACACAGAGACACAGAGACACAGAGACACAGAGACACAGAGACACACAGACACACAGACACACAGACACACAGACACACAGACACACAGACACACAGACACACAGACACACAGACACACAGACACACAGACACACAGACACAGAGACACAGACACACAGACACACAGACACACAGACACACAGACACACAGACACACAAACACACAGACACGCAGACACGCAGACACGCACACACGCACACACGCACACACGCACACACGCACACACGCACACACGCACACACTCACACACGCACACACGCACACACGCGCACACACGCACACACGCACACACGCACACACGCACACACGCACACACGCACACACGCACACACGCGCACACACGCACACACACGCGCGCACACACGCACGCACACACACACGCACACGCACACACTCACACACACACACAGCCACGCACGCACGCACGCAAGCACGCAAGCACGCAAGCACGCATGCACGCATGCACGCACGCACGCACGCACAAACACACAAGCTCACAAGTACACACACAGACGCAAACACAGAAACATAAGCACACAAGTACACAGGTGCACAAGCACACACACACAAACCAACACACCAACACACATGAACACAAGCACACAAGCACGCAAATACACATGCACACAAACACACCACAAACACACAAGCACCCAAGCACACCACAAGCATACAAGCACACAAGCACACAGAAGCACACAGAAGCACACAGAAGCACAGAAACACACACACACACACACCACACACACACACACCACATAGACACCACACACACGCACATTTTCAGGCGACCACTTCAACCAATTTCGCATTTAGAAATCCCCTAAAACTTCTGTCTTCGCCGCAGCAACCTAAAGAGTCTGCTGAGTCCCCCTTCTTTGGGCACTTTTGTTTAGGGAACTCATACAACGGCGTTTGGTGTCACCGTCAAAACCACCCCAAAAAGGGCAGAGGGAACGACACCCGCGTGTGGCTTTGGTCTCGTGCCAGGTTTAGTAAGCCCAAACATTGGATCTGGTCTCGACATGAGTTCAAACCGATTCGGGTTCTGAATGGATCTATGTTTTCTGTTTTGGCCCCAGAGATCAGCCGAACGGCTGGTTCACATCCGGCACGACCAGTTTGCGGGTCGAAGGCTAAATTTCCCGTTGCGCGCCGGCAGCGACGCTGAGAATGAGGGTTGCCACGATCATGTAGTTGTTGATACCTGCAAGTTGCGCAAGCTTGCTCCCATATCGATGGGCAAAGGGAAACCCAAGGAAAGCGACATAATTGTCTACCCTGGAGGATTTGTCGTTGCTCATACCTGCAAGGCTCCTTTTGCAGGGATGTGTTTTCCCATTCTTTTCAGCCATTCGCAGTCATGCACGGTCGAAATATACCCGCGGGCATAGAATCTCGGCTCACTTCCTGAGTTGTCAAACCAGAAATTCACCAAACCACCAAAATGGTCTTCACAAGTGGCTCAAGTCTAGAAACTTGGGAAGCATCAAGCCTCGGAGCCTTTGTAGCTGTCACTGCGGACTGCGGACCATGGCGTTGACCCAAAAATGGGCTGTCTAAGATCCCCAACCCCTTCCCCTAGAACTCCCCCAGCCTTATTAACAATGAGCCGAGGTGTGCCATGGCGAAGCCCTTTTAGCCCCGACGTCTAAACCCCAGCTATTTTCCTGAAGCCTAGATAAGGTTTATGAAGGCCAAGAAAGGCCAAAACGCTTGGGTGAGGGGCCCGCCAAAGCGATTGCTCAGTTGTTGGCCAACGGGCCCGAAATTTCACCAGTTGCAGCTGTGCTTGTCGGAGAGTGTACGCTTTTTCTACGGCTCCGACAAAAATGAAAATATGGGAACCCTGAAAATGAGTTCTTCCCTTGCAGTGCTTCAAAGCGTACCTCAAGTGTTTCGTCCCCAAGCTTCCCAGCACTTTCCCGTAGGTCCTGGAATCTGCCCCATCAGAGCGACCCCGAATCGCTGTCGCTGGGGAAAATAGGGAATGGTTGCACCTCAAGTGGTCAAAACTTTCATGGAGACCGCAGTTTGTCTTAAGTCATTTAGACCATCTTTCGTTGTTTCCCTTTAGACACCGATGGACCTATGGCGAACGACTGAGATCTCAACGACTGTTTCTCTGAGGCCAAGGACGGTTCACCGAGATCCCCATCCTGAGCCAAGCCGTCAAAACAAAAACGGATTTCGGGGCGACATCCGGGCACAAAGCGCCGCTCGGGTGTGTCTTCAATGTGGAATCCCTTTTTTGGTTGCTTGCAGGCTAGTTGGAGGGCACGCTGGGACAAGAACTCCCACCAAATCGCCACTTCTCACTGGGAAAAGGTGGCCCCCTGACATTACTTTCTTTGCGCCAAGCGAAAATGTATGGGCAAAAGGAGAAGCTTTTCTGGGATACCCACCCTCCCAACTACTTAGGAGGGCTACCTTTGAAAGGAAGCCTCCCTCGGAGTCCACAAGCCGCATGTGAGGTCGAGCTCTAGTCTGATGAGTGCTTATACGAACTTCTTGACGTACTTGGGGGGACTGACATTTCAATATCCTCCTCGGGTGTCCCAGCGAGTGTTTTAAGGGAAAGGGAGGGGAGCACTTCCAACCTTGGACCCACTCACCTCCTAAGTGGAGTGGCGAGGAAACAAAACATCCAAAAACTGTTTGTATCGCTACATGTCTCTTCCCAAGAAGTTTGAAGCCCAACACGGGAAGCAAGTTCAAGGGGCCCGTTGCAAGTGAGCAAACTCAGGTGGATCTATAATCTATAGCCTGTAGCTTCCCTTGCAAAAGGAGGTTCCTACCATTGACGCACCGCAACACACACACACACATACACACACACACATACACACGGAGGCAAAGACATCTGCCTCGATTTCGTCAGCAAGAGGTCAGCCTGAAACAACACAACTCCAATACCTGAAAGCAGCAGCGCATAGTGTGTAGAATTATTCAATTAAGAATACCTCCACTAGCAAGGAGGATTCCTACCCCCGATGGTACAATCCGTTTTTTTTTTTGTTTCCCCTTTTTGTAAGGAAGCTTGCTTTACACCCATTCATGCCACTCGCTGAATTGTTAACATGCAGCCGCTGGAGGCCATAAGAAGATTGGAAGTTGCCCCAGGAGAAGTGCTTGTCAAAATACTCAATCAAGGACTGCAACCAAAACTGAATGCTGTACGCTCACGCACGGCAACCCGTCCTGCAGCCTGCTTGGGGTTTGGAGGCCTGGGGTCAGATTCCCCGGATGTACAGGCGCCTCATCACTTCCAAAGTGCCAGCGACGCCACAGGGTTGTACACCGAACCAGTCACCAGGTACTCGACGAGGTGGGACGTTTGGCGCCTCCAGACTCTGAGCCTGATTCGTCTCCGTTATGATCGACTCTTTCAGGCTCACAGCTTGGGTCCGAGTTTCTCCTCCGAAGGTTGGCCCTCATCTCCTGACGGTGCACTAGCGGCGCGTCACATTCCCAAGGCTCCAAAGCAATGTCTTGGAAGTTGAGTGCACTAATGAGGCGTTGCCCTCCGAAGACTCCAAGGCAGGGTGGTGGAACTGGAAGTTGGGTACTGGTGTGTCCAAGGCATTTTTACGTTGAGGTGCTTCGCTGGATATCGACGCAGGCCTGAGGCCGTCGCATGTCTCGGATGTCGTCTCGCGCGATGGCGATCCTGGCATCAGGGTGAAAGCAGATGGCTCAACTTTCCCATTTGGGTTGCCATAAAGGTAATTGTGCCATCTGCTTCAGCCTGGTGTACCAACTATAAGGCCAAGCAGGCCAAAACGGTTGGAACAATTGTCAGGGGCCCCCAGCCACCACAAAGATCACCAAAGATTACGAGCTTAGTAAGTTTTAGGCCCAAAGACCCTCCCCAAAGACCCAACTTGGGCTGCGTAAAGCAGGGCTGTGGAAGTTGCAACGTGATGACAATAGAAGGACTTCCAATTGCTAACTTACTCTATACTTATCTATCACAAAAGCGGGCACCAACTCCTTAGTGTCCCTGACAGGGATCTGGCAGCACAACCGAGTGGATCATACAACCGATTGGGATCATACAACAAGGCTACCCCAATTGGAGGCCTCTATATGATGACAAGGGCTCGCGTATTTGTTGATGACCCTTTTTGAAATCCAGATTTGCGGGGGCTGGGTCGCCCAGGAAGGGTGCAAAAACAACAGCCCCAGCAAAGCAAGAGGCCAACTCAACAGCCCAACAGCAAAAAGCAACAACAGCCCAACCCCAGTAGCCAACCCAAGAACAACCGAACCACACCAAGAAAGTATTGGGTGGGGGGTGTTCCGGTCTGATTCCTCACTAAACTGCGAAACCCAAAACACCTCCCTATAAGCCGGGGTTGATAATGCGCTTGAAGCCAGGGCTACCCCCCTTGTGGTAGCTGGCAAACATGAAAAGCCAAATAGGGGCCATGCAGTATACCATCCACTTTTGAACATCGACATGTGTCCAAAAAGGGCCATCCCCCAACAAACGGGTGGCTTTCCTTGCAAATGATCCACTACAACAATGCGGGACAAGGCACCAACTGATGTTGTAGTTCTTCTGCTGGTACCTCGGGCGCCGGGAAACAGTTTTTTAGCCCATTAAGCCGTAAGCCACGGGAGCATGGAAGTTTCCCGAGATTGCTCGGAAGTTGTGCAGCTTGTTGGTACTCTCCTCCTGATTTTCACGTACCCAAAAAGCCAGTTGGGGGGGGGGGGACCGGTCCCCGTTGGGATCCCAAAAAGCAAGTCTGAAGGTGTTAACTCCTTGGGGGGGCGGGGGGGGGAAGGGACTGCACCCCTGTTGGGGTTTTTTTCCGTTTGCGGGTTGCTATGATCTTCCCATGTCCAAACGCCAAGATGAAGAAGGGGGTCTTCCGCAGCGGGGTTGAGAAGCGGTTGACTGCAGCTTTGGTCAATATTAATAAAAGTGATAGTTAGCGAGACATAAACAGTAACTCGGTGAACCTTAAATTGAAAACAAATTCCAAAAGAGATCCCAGCTGTCCTGCCCGCGTGAACGCCTCTGAATAGGAGTAAGAAACCTTTTGCAAAGATACATGTAGTTTATCAAGCCTGCAAATTTCAACAGCATCTAGTGTAAGCCCTCTGCTCCAAATGACTCATTCATCGCTCCTTGCAAGGTAACTGCGGCAACTGAAGAATGTGGCGGCAGGTCGTTTACATCGACTAAGCGGGTTTAAAATGGGGACCAAACTGACAAATCGGATGCGGAGACAACGTGCAAACAACCATTTCGATGAACCTACTTGTTGGTTCGCATCATGCACATCGCGAGACCTGACTGTCTGCCTCGCCCGACTACGTATCCCTCCTTTTCAGGGTATGATGCCAACTCGCCAAGAAAAAGAAGCCATTGAGGCGGGGGTCAACAAACAATTTTAGGATAAAATGGACAACCCCGGCTCATTTGCTCGCCGAAAACCAGCTGGCATCCTGAGGGGGTCCGCTGGACAGATCTGCAACCGTCCCGAAGGCGTCAATTGGGCCGGTGCACTTCTGCGCCTGCCGCCAGGAAACGTTGTCGGCAAAGCCTCGGGTCGCATGGCATTGAAAGTTACCAAAAAGGCCCAAGAGGAAGGTCTACTCGAAATTGGCCAAATACCCACCAAACATTAAGGGTATTTTTGTGCAGCACCAGCAGCGCTTGGGACCCGTATGCTGGTAGAAGTTGTCCGCTGGTCTCAAATGGACCCAACTTTGGGATACTCAAACAATCAAATATTGTCAGATTCTGTCATAATTTAGTCAAATATTGTCTCTTGCGTCATTGCACACCGGACCTTCCCCCAAATCCAAAACCTCAACAAAGAAGTGGACCCCCAAGTAAAGCACCTTCATCAACCAGCCACCCCCCCCCCCCCTCCCCCAGCCGGTTTGGGGCTCAGTGGGTGGTTTGTAGGATTCCTGGAATAAGGCAGTTGAAAGGATAGCCCTGCCAGGCTTCAAACCAATACACTCTGGGCGGGCCTCAAACGCCAGGACCTGGTTGCCAATCCTTTTTGGACACATGGATCAACGCTGGCAGCAGAAAAGAGCACAGGTCAGATTTGGTCGAGTCACTGTGGCTGCAAGAGTCTCTGCGTACTTAGGGGTCTGGAAATATCCAAAAACTCGAATACCACATGTTGGCATCCTTTGGGGAAAGTAAGAATTACATGGGTGTGCGTGCTTTTGAGGGAATCCCTTTAAAGCAGTAAAGGAGAACCATAGGGAAAGCCACTTTGATGCTCTGGTTTGGGGGTAGCCAGGCTACTCAAAGACGCCAGCCGGTCTTTCCCGCAATTCGATCCGTGGCCCCGGCCATCTCGGTTGAAGGTCATCCAGGCAAACATGCTCTGGATGCCCGTCCTGCGGCCGTATCGCCCAAGAAACCGGGTAAAGCACAAATCCCTATGGTACGTCGGTACCTAAACCAAAGAAAATCCCAGAAAACTTCTGGTACATCGGTACCTAAACCCCTAAAAAACGAAAACTTCTACCCCCTTTGGCTTGGAACATCTGATTTCGGGGAGCTCATGGTTTGGTACCTGGTACACCAAGGGAAACCCCGGCAAAATCCTAGCCCTGTTTGGCGAAGGCTCGGGGAATCCATTGAAAGGGGAGCTCTTTGCTTGGAAAAAATCAAGCCTCCTGGCCAGGACAATGCCTCGTTGGCCCCATTTGACCATTGGCAAAGCCGGGAGGGAACTGGCAAAAGAGCTCTCAGGGTTACGGTGCGGCCTTTGCAATCGCTGAGGTCATGTTGTTCCGGAGCTGAATTGTGATCCGCGGGTGCAGCCAACTGAGGGATACCAAATCACCAAATCACGCTCAGGGAATGCTCAACTCATCAGCTTCCAGGATTCCAGGGTTTGCATGCTGGAAAAGAACCAGCCTCAAGAATGTCAGGGACCTAGAACGCCCTCAAAAACCGCACCAATGATACACACATTTTACTTAAAGGGGGGTCATTTTCGGAGGAGGAGGGATTTCCGAGGACGCGGGGAGCCGCTAATTGAGCAGGGTAAGAGGGAATGGTGGAAAACACACACTCACATCCCTGCAAGTTGGTTCTAAACTAAGTGCCGCCTTATTCCGAACCCATTTTGAGGGAGAGACACCCATGTGTTGTGGGATAATAACCCACCCTGTCGAACCTGTTTTTGAGGGTACCGCCATCTTTGTAGCTTTACAGGGCAACCAGAAGGACCCCCGAAGTCCATTTTGGGGGTCCGATTCCTGGACCAAAGGGCGAGCCACCCAAGACGCAAGATGCAGCCAGGCGGCCCCAAGAAGCCCCACCAGTCGAAGAAGGTCATGGCGCCAGAAAGCGCTCGCGCAAACCCCGCTTGGCCGTTTTGGCCAAGCCGCGCAACTTACGCGGAAAGGAAAGATGAACAAGGGTCCAAGGGTCCCGGGCAAGGTGGAAAGCAGAGTTTCAGCATTGTTGTTGTTTTGGGCTGTGAACTTTGTTTTTGGCGCTGGGAAAGATTGTGTTTGTTCGAGGGGGTGCACTTTGTTCTTGGTTGCAGAGTACCCTCAGCAAAATCAGATGATGGATCCGCGACTCGGCCTCTTGACAACTTGCGGGTATGAGCCTAAACAAGTACCCTACCCCCCAAAATAACGGTCGACCCAATTTAGATGATGAAACTCCTTAAAACGGTGCTAGTATTAACCCGCATTGTTCTAATGCTGGCGAGGGAATCAGGGTGTCAACAACGGTTAAGGGCTCCCCAACTCCATGTTCTGGACTCGTTCGGGTGACGAGCGACTCGAGTGAAACGGCTCAAAGTGCGGTGGAAGAATCGAAGACCCCATGACAACTCAAGGGCATCTTCTTACATGGGGCGTGGCACGCAGATTTATGTACCAGCCACAGAGTAGCCCTGCCGTCGCCTTCTTTCGACGGGGACGCTGCTTGCAAAGGCCACGTTCAGCTCCCAGGGTAGGGGGCGCTTCTGAGAAGGCACTTCAGGGTACCTCTCTACCGGGTGGCCATAGCCCTTTGTGATGAATCACACGGGAAGGCCCGGCAAGGCCTTAGTGAGGTTACAACAAATCAGGTCTTGCCAATTATATACATATATATATATATATATTAATTTATTTACTCAACAAATGTTGCGTCTCTAGTGGGGGACAAAAGGGTTACCATCACTGTCACCGTGCCTCTACCCAAAAAAGGATGGTCGTCCCTCTCACTTCTGTCCGAACCACGCCGAAAACAGCATGCTCTCTCTCAAAAAAAGAAGACCCGACCACTTGTAAAGCGGGCGCTATTTGACCAGACAGTCCAACACAAACATGAAGCCTCTCAACATGTTTTCTAAGGATCCGTTCCACAAAACCGCCACCCGGAAGACAATCTTCTCGTTACAAGAGAGCAATGATTGAAGAGAATCATCCGGGAACCACTCTGTTTCAAAAAAAAAAGTCCAACACCCCTTACACGTTGTTTCAAAAATGAATGGTTGTTATGTTGACCTGAGGTGAGGCCGTTGGGGGCTTGAAAACCATTAGTTTTTCCCGTTGAAGCCACCGCAACAAGGGCATCCTCAAACAATCGCACGCCCATATGTCATAGAGTGTGTTTAGCTTCTTATATATTTGTCCCTAGTAAACAACTGCCTCCGTTTGAATCCCTCAGTTGCTGGCACTGGCACGGGGCTCCCCCTTTGGTTCATCTTCTCTGAGACTCTACCCTCCTAGACTATCCGGAACTGCTAGGGGCTTAAGCCTAATTCAAGTTTGGTGAAAGTAGATGGCAAAATTCCGACCCATGGTGCCCTGCCAAAGCCTGCGAAACGAGTTGCCGTCGGCTACATCACTGGGACGCCCCTGACATACACAGGCGTCCTGCCTGATTTTTCCACAAGCGTTTCCATGAACATTGACCATCAAATGTCCGCTGGCTGATCTGCAAATCCTTGTGGACTTCTCCTCTGTTCGAAAAGACCCGGCAACCATGTGGTTGCAATTTGTTATATAATCCCCCAAGCGAAAAGAAGAAACTTCTACAGTATGACAGAAACCTTCATTCTAGCTCACGTCAGACACACACACACACACAATACTGGTGTTTCTCAAAATAGGGCTCCCCCAAATGGTTGGTGTGCTTTTATTTTGCCTTTGAACACCCACTGACACAGGGTGGGAAGGGGAGCGAAGCATCACTTTGAGAACGGACAAACCACTTCCGACTTCAGACTTGGCCAGCGGACTAGAGTACAAAGCGGCGCTTGACGCGCGCGTAGCGCGCGCGCCGCAGAGCGGCGCATTCTTTTTTGCGCGCGCTGCGTTTTCCCATGGTGCCCCTACCCCCCAGTGAACATCGCAATCCCCACCAAAATAGACTAAAATGCGTGGTGCACCTACCCCAAAACGGTACCATTGGTTTTGACCCACAAGGGTTTCCAAAGGGATATCAAAAGGAAGCCCAAAGAAATCAGTGCTGACAATAAGGGCCGCTGCCCTGCACCTGGTGAGTTGGCTCCGAAATCCTCTTTGACCAACCAGAAACTCACTTCAGATCGGGATGATTTCCCCAACTGCTTACAGGTTCAGTTTCGGGCCAACTTTGACACCTGGATCTAGATTGCGTTTCCATTTTGACAAGCTATCCCAAGAGAATAGGTGTCACCAAGCTACAACGGAGCCCTAAGAAAGGAACCCAAACTTGTTCAAAAGTTGCTTGAAAACTAATCTGAAGCACTTCTTACAGTCAATTGACAACTAATCTGATTTAGCAGTAATCTGATAAATGGCATTTGACATTCATTTACAGTCATTTCATTGTTTTTTTTGTTTTAAAGATACTTGCAGGCACTTCATTAGCAGTCCGCCGCGCCCGCGGTATGCGTCTGCACCGAATTGGTCCGCGCTTCGGGAATGGCGAATTCCAAGATTCAGGGACCCGAGCCCCCAAGTCTGCTGAAACCCATTTCTCACCACTTTAAAACCATGGGAAACCATGGTTTGTTGGTATTTACAAGAGAATCGAATCATTCTAGGGTTTCTTAGGTGCTGCCAAATGGATTTCGCAACCGTCCACAGCATGGTTCCTTTGAGGGGTTGGTAGGGCCCCCGAAATATCCTGGCTTCATCTCAGGGCCTGCCGAGCCTGACGCGGAAGGGAGATGGACTTCGAGCAGAGATCCCACACGGAAAGTCAGATGTTCGGGGAATCTGGTTTAAGTTTTAGTCTACCCAAAAACATAAATAGTTTTGGAAGAGACCCTGGAGTTCCTGGGAAACTATGTGAACTTTGGCTCAATTCCTGAGTGGGTTGGGCAAAGAGTCTAGTCTTCCCCCAAGAGTATAAACCACAATCACTGGGGAAGTGAGAAAGTCAGTTCTGGATTAATCCAGAGGACGATAGTGGGCTGCTTTCCGCTGCAGCGAGGAATGCAGTCATTTTAGGCCGGGATTCCTTGACTAATCCGAAGCCAACAGTAGGCAGAAGAAGCAAAATCATTTGAGGTGAGGGTGTAAACATGCTCTATCATCATCATCTTGGCAAAACAGGAACAGGAACACATGAAAAATAATGATACGTTTAGCATTGCGTCAAAACCAGGGAGGTTCTCCTTCCCAAATATCGGTCGAGGACCCTTCCGCCTTCCCGTCAAGTAGCCTCTTTGAACCCTTCGCCTTAGTTCCCCTACCGGCCCGACGCTTGTGGGTTCCAACCGGGGTGCGGGTCAAATCCCCTGATCTTGCAGAGCGACTCAAAGCCCCAACTTCAGCGCTGGACGAAGGCCCACCACGTTAGCCAATCCCCACCTTCAGAGGGTCGGGGCGGAGCACGGCCTGTCCCCCCAATTCCGTATTGTTTCGAGTCTACCCCGCAAAATGCGCCCTCCCCCAATTCCAGTCGGGATGTTATCCATAAACATCGGAAACAACCCAATGGGGCAAGACTCATAGTGGAAATACATCGAGATGGGTGTTCCTGGAAGCCACCGTGGGAAAACAATAGGTCAACCCAATGAAGAAAGGTTCCCCGACACCGACTTGAGCAGCGCCCTTACCCCATCGACTTTGGTTCTAGCATGGTGACGTACTATGCTCGCCGCCAAATCCAGCAGTAGAACCATTTACAACAAACGGCTGGTAAGAAATGGTTTCGGGCGCTGCTCACCTGAGTCAAAACCCGGTCCAAAAGAGGTATATAGCCAAAATCACAAGAATCGAGAGAGCAGACAACTGCACCTATTTCTGGCTGTGCCTGTTATGTCTTTACTAACCTTCACTTCCCCGAATTGGTTTTGAGTGTGACTCCCTTGGCAAGTCACTTGGGGTTTACCTGAAAAAGGAAGCAGTCCCAGACGCCTGCCGCGGCTCACGCTGCGTTGCCGCACCTGAAACGCTGGGCGTTTCTGCTGTCTGCCGGACTTCGTCCTTGGGGAAAAAAGGGAGGAACATCCAAATGGTTCCTGTGAAGTAAAGCTACAAGAAAGTTTCCGACTGCTTCCTTGAGGACATTGTTTTTGTGAAGCAAAGCTACAAGATATCAAACAACAAGAGGAGGACAAGGAAACGGGAACAAAGCAACCTCTTGCTTCGTAATGCTTGGGCTTTCGGGGGCTTTGGGGTGGAACGGAAGAGTCCCTGAGTAGAGCAAAGCCAAAAGAAACAAATGTTAATTATTTATTTACTTATTTGCTTGTCTGTCTGTTTGATGGTTGGCTTGTGGTTGTAGACGGGCCCCTTTCTGAGATGCCAAGTGGGAACCCCATACCCAGGGCTAATTTGCAACTCCGAAGAGAGTTCCTTGCTGTCAGCCATTGTCTTTAAAGGCAGAAAACCCTGCCCCCCCGCCACAAAAAAGAACAGCGTTGAAGGGCTGAGTAAGTCTTTATCCGGCCAAATCAGCAGCCACATAAAGTTGTCTTAACGTGTCTAAGCTCATCCGCCCCGACCTGCAAACAGTGACGACTTTTTTGCAGGTAAAAAAAGGAGGAACAAATGAGTAACCCAAAAACGAAAAGGCCAAAAGAGGGTTAGGCAAAAGTCGGGCAATGGGAATAGGTGCCAAGTATGTAGTGCTACTAGACCTTGCCGTGTGTGTAGATATACGTCATTCACTTCGATAGGACTTCCCACTACCTCTACCCAAAAAGGCGAAAGGGCAAAAAGCGGAGTGGCAATTGTCTGGCAATGTTAGCGGAAAATAAGGCCAACTCAAGCTCCAACTATTGAGCAATGCCAAAACCAATTGGCTCTTGATCCTACTAGCATAATCTTGGGGTGGTTTTCATAGCCTTTACTATAACCCCCATGAAACCATGTAGTAGAACCACCCAAGAAGGACTTCGGACACATCTCAACTTCGGATTAATCCGGAGCGCCATTCTAGTCAAGGGTGTTGGGAAATTCACACTTGTTTTGGCGGACTCCTGTTGTCCGGATTCATCCGAAGTTAGCATCTGCATGGGGCTTCTCCGGGTATGGGTCGATGGAGGCTCCCGGCCTGCTTCTTCAGGGTCTCATTCGCCTTGTCGCACGCCTCAGTGAAGCACAGTGGCACGAGAGCCCGGGACAGAAATTTATTGCCCCAAAGGACACAAAATGGGCGGGTGTGGGACACTTGAGTTGCCCTTTACGTCCTCAAAAACTCTTAGTCCGCGCGGAGACTTCGCTGCGTCAAAATCTTCATCCCCGTCGCTCGCGCCAGTAATCTCACAGCAAGTGGGATCGGCTAGGGGTGGTTGATAATGTTGACCCCGTATTAGTCTGTAACCCCCCCCCCCCTTGAAGGTTGGAAGGTTTTGGGGGGGCAAGATTTTGGAAGGTTTTTTGCTTTGACCCCCTAAATAATCTGGAATTGAGTTTCCATTTGATTTAGTATTGCTGGGGCTTCCTTTTGAGATCTGGAATTGAGTTTCCATTTGATTTAGTATTGCTGAGGCTTCCTTTTGAGAACTGGAATTGAGTTTCCATTTGATTTAGTATTGCTGGGGCTTCCTTTTGAGATCTGGAATTGAGTTTACATTTGATTTAGTATTGCTGGGGCTTCCTTTTGAGATCTGGAATTGAGTTTCCCTTTGATTTGGTATTGCTGGGGCTTCCTTTTGAGATCTGGAATTGAGTTTCCATTTGATTTAGTATTGCTGGAGCTTCCTTTTGAGATCTGGAATTGAGTTTCCCTTTGATTTGGTATTGCTGGAGCTTCCTTTTGAGATCTGGAATTGAGTTTCCATTTGATTTAGTATTGCTGGGGCTTCCTTTTGAGATCTGGAATTGAGTTTCCATTTGATTTGGTATTGCTGGGGCTTCCTTTTGAGATCTTTTGATTTGGTATTGCTGGGAGCTTGCCTTTTTGAGATCTGGAATTGAGTTTCCATTTGATTTAGTATTGCTGGGGCTTCCTTTTGAGATCTGGAATTGAGTTTCCCTTTGATTTGGTATTGCTGGGGCTTCCTTTTGAGATCTGGAATTGAGTTTCCATTTGATTTAGTATTGCTGGGGCTTCCTTTTGAGATCTGGAATTGAGTTTCCATTTGATTTAGTATTGCTGGGGCTTCCTTTTGAGATCTGGAATTGAGTTTCCATTTGATTTAGTATTGCTGGGGCTTCCTTTTGAGATCTGGAATTGAGTTTCCATTTGATTTGGTATTGCTGGGGCTTCCTTTTGAGATCTGGAATTGAGTTTCCATTTGATTTAGTATTGCTGGGGCTTCCTTTTGAGATCTGGAATTGAGTTTCCATTTGATTTAGTATTTGAGATCTGGAATTGAGTGATTGCTGGGGCTTCCTTTTGAGATCTGGAATTGATTGATTTGATTGCTTTCCTTTTGAGATCTTTGAGTTTCCATTTGATTTAGTATTGCTGGGGCTTCCTTTTGAGATCTGGAATTGAGTTTCCATTTGATTTAGTATTGCTGGAGCTTCCTTTTGAGATCTGGAATTGAGTTTCCATTTGATTTAGTATTGCTGGGGCTTCCTTTTGAGATCTGGAATTGAGTTTCCATTTGATTTAGTATTGCTGGAGCTTCCTTTTGAGATCTGGAATTGAGTTTCCATTTGATTTAGTATTGCTGGGGCTTCCTTTTGAGATCTGGAATTGAGTTTCCATTTGATTTAGTATTGCTGGAGCTTCCTTTTGAGATCTGGAATTGAGTTTCCATTTGATTTAGTATTGCTGGGGCTTCCTTTTGAGATCTGGAATTGAGTTTCCATTTGATTTAGTATTGCTGGGGCTTCCTTTTGAGATCTGGAATTGAGTTTCCATTTGATTTAGTATTGCTGGGGCTTCCTTTTGAGATCTGGAATTGAGTTTCCATTTGATTTAGTATTGCTGGGGCTTCCTTTTGAGATCTGGAATTGAGTTTCCATTTGATTTAGTATTGCTGGAGCTTCCTTTTGAGATCTGGAATTGAGTTTCCATTTGATTTAGTATTGCTGGGGCTTCCTTTTGAGATTCCATTTGATTTAGTATTGCTGGGGCTTCCTTTTGAGATCTGGAATTGAGTTTCCATTTGATTTAGTATTGCTGGGGCTTCCTTTTGAGATCTGGAATTGAGTTTCCATTTGATTTGGTATTGCTGGGGCTTCCTTTTGAGATCTGGAATTGAGTTTCCCTTTGATTTGGTATTGCTGGGCTTCCTTTTGAGATCTGGAATTGAGTTTCCATTTGATTTAGTATTGCTGGGGCTTCCTTTTGAGATCTGGAATTGAGTTTCCATTTGATTTAGTATTGCTGGGGCTTCCTTTTGAGATCTGGAATTGAGTTTCCATTTGATTTAGTATTGCTGGAGCTTCCTTTCGGGGGTGGGGCCGATGGACCGCACTAATTAGGTGGGAATTATTAATTGGGGGTGTTAGGGGCCAATGTGGGGTGCTCTTTGAAACCTTCTAAACTTGATTTGTTTAGTAAAGAATTTAATAAGAAATCAACCATCTCAGAACACTTTTTGTTTTGTGGTTCGGGCAGGCCCAAAAGTATCCACCAAGCTTCAAGATGAGAGTAGGAGGTGGAGATGAGAGCCCTAAGCAAGGCAGCAGCATGAAGAGAAAGGTACCAGAAGAAAGCATGAGCCCATTTGAGACAAAGCACCTTTTCAGCACACCATTCAGAGACAGCATGGCAAGCAGCATGAGTCGATTCAACATCAGCAGCATCAGCTAGCACCAAAAAACAGTTTACATTGTATTGAGCTCAAGAAGCAGTGGAGAAAATGAGATAGCAGCAGCCATCTGGGGGAGGGACCGGTCTAATTGGGGGGGGGTTGTTTTGCATCATTTCTTATTTGGGGGGTATTTTCTGAGATATGAATTGTTTAGTATTGGGGGGGTCCACCCGGACCGGACTAATAGGGGGGGATATCTAATACGGGGTCAACATTACGTGCAATGGTTCGCATCTTTTTGTGCAGCCTGAGGGTCTTACAAACCAACCACCCCAGCTTTGTCGTCTTCAACGGCGGTCGAGATTGGGAACGTTGAGTCAGAACAGCTGCCGGGTGTGTCTCTGTTGGACTGCAGTCCAGAAGCTGGGGAAGTCCCGATCTTTGAGTTTGATGCCATGGGTATCAAAATATGAAGAGCTCATTTCGGGGTGAAGGCGAGCTCACTCCTTCCAAAAGTCCCTCCTTTCCAGGTACACGTATAGTCATGGGCCATGGGTCAAAATCCAAATCGTACCCCCAGTGAATATCCCAATCTCCAGTAAAATAGGTTCTAATGGGTGGTGAATTCACCTACCAACCAAAATGGGATCCCATTGGTTTTAGCAACCACAGCCATATTGTGCCAGATGGGCTTGGAGCCTTACCGCGTCTGAAGCTGAAGGGGTTCCCCGCGCCCACCACGCACAGGTCCGGAGTTCGATGCACGGCACGTGTGACGTGATGTCCGCCGCTCGTGCGCGGTAGAACGCTAGAACTCCCGTGTTTCGGGCCCCCCAAAAAGGCAAAAACCTCCTGCTTTCTGAGGGAATCTGCTGAAACAACCACTTTTTGATTGGCTCAGATGTTTCCTAGCTACAAAACCCACCATTGCTAAATTTGGGGGGACCTTCCTTTCAACAGTGCTGAAAGCGAAACCAAGAGGACACTAATCAATAGTGGGACCCAACATCAAGCAAGTGTCTTTTTGCCTGTGGCGGAGGCGCTTTTTAAGGGGGAAAGACTCCTGCGCAGGTGAATACAGGGAGCAGGAGTATCATTGCAGCTTCTATGTCTTTGGAAAACGCCAAATTGGGATAGATGTGGTGTCATGCAAGCTGTTTATAAGGCGTTCAGTGCTTTTCCCGAGCAAAACCCAAGCCAAGTGGCACACGTTTTAGTTGCTAGCGGCTTTTCCAGTAATTGCTCTCGAGTATATCTAGGACGCAATATGGCTGTGGTTGCTAAAACCAATGGGATCCCATTTTGGTTGGTAGGTGAATTCACCACCCATTAGAACCTATTTTACTGGAGATTGGGATATTCACTGGGGGTACGATTTGGATTTTGACCCATGGCCCATGACTATACGTGTACCTGGAAAGGAGGGACTTTTGGAAGGAGTGAGCTCGCCTTCACCCCGAAATGAGCTCTTCATATTTTGATACCCATGGCACCAAACTCAAAGATCGGGAAGCTGTTGGTAGGGCAACAGGACTGTTCCCTAGCTAAACAGCTACCCACAGCAGTGGGAGTGTGGCTCAAACCGTCAGGGTGGGCTACCTCAGCTTTTGTCAAACAATTGTGCTCAGCTACTTCACCCGTGAAGAGGCCGCCTGAAAAACAGCGACACCCTTCTCAGGCCGGAGCCCAGACTTGGGGCTTGCCGTGGTAGCCGCAAATGCAGAAGGTGTGGCCTAAGCGCTTCAGGGTGTGCTTCAAGGGTCCGGGGATTAACACGAAATCAGCAGCAGTAGCATCGTAGCCCGTATGTTGCTTTGAACCCGACCTCTCAACATGGAAGGCTGCTCAGCCAATTCAACCGAACAAAGGTCCAATAAACTGGAAAGAATCCTGTTGCCCTGAGCAGATGAATAACTTGGCCAGTGGACATAAAAGCAAGACTTCCGCTCAAAATGGCCATGCGGCGATTGTGATAGACTTCCTTTTTGCTTTCCTTTACGCATTCATTCAGAAGACCAAGCGGGGTTCCGCAAACAGAGGTTTCGGAAATAAAGAGAAGGATCCAGCACCCCATCCCCCAACAATTTTTTTTTTAGTAATTACTTGGGATTTTGGACATGGGAAAAAGCAATAGGGGAGTACTGGATGCCTATCGCAATGCATAATAAGTTGTTTGCGCCCATATCACCTCAACCCCGGCGACTAAGACGCGAATTCAACCGCTATTTTAGGAACCTCGACCACACATGGGTATGTGACCCAAAGTGGTGGCTTTCCTCTTGGTTCCCTTTAAACCAAGCTGTAAAGGGTGCCGAGCCTCAAAAAACACGAGCCCACACGGGCCATCGGAAGCCCATAGGTCGAATCCGGTTGTTCTCTTCAAGTGAGATTGTGGTTGTGAAGCTCTTTTGGTTTTCATCCAACAGCAAGCTTTCGGTCTGCGGTCTCCTCCAAAAGTAGCTTCTATGTTGGGGTAGAGCAAATATAAGCAGAATCTGAACATATGTCGTTCTGTGTAATGTTGACCCCATATCCAGTTTATTACTATGGGGTTTTCCCTCCAAAAGTGATGATTCCCCACTAATTCCAGGGACACTCTATGAATAAAGTGGGGTTGACTAATCTGGGGTCAAGATTATCCCAAATGTGGGCCAAGTTGTTCTTCCCCAAGGTTCCCTGCAATTCCCGGCTTAGACATATCTCATAGAGGCATTCCGCTGAATGTCCCCAAGAAGTGAGCAGCCCCCTTTCACCCATTGACTGTTAAGTCTACGAGCATGGTTATAAAAGTTTAAATGGGCCTTACTATGATATGTATGAAACCGGGTAGTCGAACCAACTACTCCACACATTCGCAAGCGAGATCGAAGCCCCCCCGAAGAGTTTTGGCGCTGCTAAAGTCATGTCTTAACAACGGGAACAAGGCTCCATATAAGCAACCTGCCCTTAAAGTGAGCTTCTGATTTATTTATAGCCAGGGCTGCTTTTCAATCAACTACAATTTGTACCTTTAGGTACCCCTTCAAAAGGAAAGCAACTAGTCAGGTTGTTTGAACCGCTGTTGATTCCTCTCTGCTTTTTGAGACTGTCTTGGTGGAATGCTTGGAAACCCTCGCAGGTCTTTCCAGCTTCCTCTTGGAATGCCAGACTGAGCATTTCAAAGTTCGGGTAGGATTTCTTCAGTAAGGGAATCGACCTTTTGATCTGACCTTTTGATCTGGTTCTCCCACGATCCACTTGAAATGTGAAGGTCCCACGGTGATCACCTATTCTTTCTGACTGGGCGAGGGAGCTTCAGAGAACTTCGGCCTGTAGATCAAGGATTGGTGATCGGGAACCAGTCCCTGAACAGTGGGAGATAGCAACGAGGTGCATGCTGATTCATGTAAAAGCACACCTCACTCGTGTGAAGCTGCGAATCTGCAGACTCATACTTGTCCTGTGGGGGCGCCGCCGCTGAGGAGCCTTTCCATTGCCCGCGGGTGGGTGTTTTTATTTCTACGTCCTCGTGGATGTAGGCGCGCCAAAACACATGCTTCACCACATCCCGGGCCGCGAGGTATCCTTCCGCCGCCATCCATCTCAAGTCCACCGAGCTCACCACTCCGTTGCTGCATCCAAAAAAGCCTGCTTTACAAGGGGGATCCTCTGAATTGACTCTAATCAGCTGGTAAAAGTGATCTTTCAAATGGCCCGGTTGCGTCCTTTAAGGGCCCTGGTGTCCCGTACTAACCTCCATCCGAGTGTCTGTCAAAATAGCGGGCACCCCAAACCTGGCTGGTCTAAACGTTTTCCTTCGAGCTTCCTTTAAACTAACCAAAAAAGGGTCCGTACCCTATCCTAAAAAAGGTTCCTTTAAACCAACCCAAAAAGTCTAACAAAGGGTACCCTCAAACAATGTTACACAACCAACTACCCAATTGTTCATGTGCTCCCCAAGCACGAACCGCGAAACGCTCGGCGCCGGGCAATAGCAGGTGCAGCGCTGGGCGCCTCAGACTCGAGCGAGCTGGGCCAATTGGGGTCGGTGGCCGGCTTGGAAGGTGGCAGGTTTGAGCTTCCGTTTTGGATTCATCGCAGCGAGAAAGGAACCCTCTCCAAGTGGGGAAACCCCCAATGCGGGTCGTTTCCCGCCCGGCAAACGGATGGGGACCCCTACAATGGACGGCTTGCTTTGGGTTGGCTTGTGAAACAATTCCTCAAGGAGGTAGTGCGTGACTATGGGTTGGGAGCAGAGGGAGAGAAAGAAAGAGAAAAAGAGAAAGAGAAAAAGAGAAAGAGAAAGAGAAAAAGAAAGAGAGAGGGAGGGAGAGAGAGAAAGAGAAGGATAGAGGCAGGGAGACGCCGGGGAAGCTCCTGAAGACTATCCTAGCCATACCACCATTTTTTGTTTCTGTGCTTTGCACCGCGTTTGCCCCGCGTGCTTCATGTACTGGGTCTGGCCTCCCTGGAGATGCTGGGCTCCTAACCAAGTCCTCTTCCCTTCGGCCCATTCAGCTCGCCCAAACTCAATGCCAATGATGCGGCCGCGGGTGACACTAAGGTAGTGGAACGTTTCCACGCCACCGGATTTGTGTTCTTGTTGTGCACGCCATCCACGCTTTCCAGCGAAACCAGAGCAAGGCGGAACAAGAGCTCTCTTTTTAAATGGATTGGCCAAAACATGTTCAAACTGTTTGTCTACCACTAAACATCTTTCCCACAAAGTATAAAGTTCAGAAGCGAAGCTCGGGAAGTGCAAGAGCCTCAAGGAGTCAAACCGGTGACGCCCCTTTGACCGCCGGGCGAGAAAGCAGAGAAGTGAGTGTTGGATGCTACGAAAAGCGCGAACCATCTGCGGGCCCTTAGTGACTGAGACAAGAACATGTCTATGTTGCAGTCATCCAGCGTCTTCCATTTTCGTGCCATGAACCAATGAGAAGGTTACTGGTCATCGTCACCATGTCCGGTACCAGCAAGGGGAAAAAGCATCATCTTGAAAACATGGAACCTGAAGCCAATGCAAGCAACTATTCTACACACACACCACATAAATGGCACATGGTGTCAACTTTATTTTTGTTATTTAAAGCTTGGAGAGAAAAGCAATTAAGGAATCACTCCCCCTTCCCCCGCCCCCCCCCCCCTCCCGAAACACGCGCTTGGGTCCGCGCTGCGCTCGCGGGTGGCGCGCTGGCCTCAATGCTTGGGGGCAGGTCACCTGGGGAAAACCCAGGTGCCAATCATTTGGTGCCAGTCAACCTTGTATGTGCATTGTGGATATATATATATGCATATATATATATGTTTATATATATAACGCACATACAACACATATATTTTGGAAGTTCAAGGCCCTCGAAACTATTTCAGCTATTGCGGCCAGCAGCAATAATGTTCTCAGATCTATGTCGGGCCATATTTTGTGAACTTTGGAATACACACTGTTGCACAATAATATCCCAAGAGATCTCGTTTAGAGGGGCGTGATTGTGAGACTGCTAGCCTAAACAAGATGGATTTGGCCGCGATGAATTCTTGGTTGCTATCTAAGCCCCCCTGCAAGTTCGGAGATCACCAAAACCGTGAATTCAAGGAAAGAGCCGAGTGCTCTTTGCAGTGTGCAATCAAGCTGCTGGATTAGGGAGTGTTCTCCCCAAAGTGAAGGATCCTGATAAAACCACCCCCTAGAATCAACCAGTTGATTAAACCCTGGGGTCCCAGTAGCGGCTTTCTTTAGCATCTTGAGGAAACCTCATCTATCTCCTTGTTTCTGGCCCAGACCGAGAGCCATACTCCATGCAAGTCAGACCACATCACTAGCATTGGCCACACAAACAATGCTCAGCCACACATGTGATAGATCATCCAGGTCGTGGTCTCGTGATGATCCATTGTTCAATGATTGTCCGTTTGTCCGTTTCGGGGTCTTTCCAATCGCTTGCCAAGCAGTTCCAAATACTGACTGTGACCTAGGGACCACACGTCCACGCCAATGGGGAGCGTCCCTGACGTCCTTCGCTTTCAAGGGGGAGTGCCTTCATAAAGAACATGGCCCTCAAACAATATGGCCATGGGTCAAAACCCCTGTTAGCCCCCAGTGAACATTCCCATCCAACCACAAAAATAGGTTCTAACATAGGTGGTGAATTCACCGACCCCAAAATCGTACCATTGGTTTTCGCCCACAGCCATATGTACAATCATGGCCTTGTTAAACCTTGGCCAACTTAAGTCATGGAAGTCTTCCGATACCCACGAAGCTGAGGCTCGGACACAGGCACTCATTCTTGCCTAGCAAACATTTGGCTTGGTGCCCAAAGTTTTGGTTCGCCTCTGGGGTCTGTCTCAACGGGGGACCCCTCTTTTGGCTGGTTTTTTTCAGCGACACCAATGGGAGCCCAACCACTTTAGGGCCCAGGCCCGGCAACAGGAAAATTCAAAACCTTCAACACCTGAAGTAACGGAAAAGTGAGTTCGCTTTAACCCGCAGGTAAGCTCGCAACAAATTAGGGGCAGAAACAGGTGTCAGCTAGGCGCGCCAATTCACGTTGATGGTTGACCATTTGACACGATGAGTTGCATGGTCCCAATGGTTTGCGAAGCAAGGCCAGATGCGAAGCACTGGAGTCACCAGTGTCCTGATACGACGCGAGTTCGGTCCGATCATTTTAATGCCAAGCACGCTGAACGTCACATGAGGCAGAAACATGTGTAAACCACGGGTTACGATGAGCGATCTCTTCAAAGAGTTGTTCCAGCATTCTGCTGCCTGGTGGCTTTTTTAGCTCAACGGGCTGGGCAAACAGCAAAAAGACCCAAAAACAGACCTAGAGGGCCAGACGCCCAAGGCAACTTCAGGGGTCTGGGCACACTGTTGAGTCAAAGGCGGCCCAAGTCCACCCGACAAAGGGCACCTGGGGGGGGGCAGAGCAAAGTCTTTGCACCAAGCAAATTTAGCCGCTGGGATATTTGGCCTGATGCGAACCAATCAGGCATATTCCTCCTGTCACCGGGAGAGTCTTTTGGGCAGGTGTGCTAGTGGGGACGGGGTTGGTTCCCACTTCTGTGATACCAAGATTGGAAGGCCTTTAATTGTTGGTAACCTGGTATCTTTCATTTGCTTGAGTCGCCTGTACAAAATATGCTCCAGTTGCGATAGATTCCCTTTAAAACCAACAGGGGAGAATACAACATGTTTGTTTAAGCAAGTGGAAGATACCACAAAGTGGGCTGTTTTGCTCTCCCCACCTCCGTCGCGAGCGCGGCTCTTGGGCCGGAAGTGGAAAGGCCTGGCGCAGGACGAAAGCAGGGCAAGCGCCCCAAACGCAAAGCTGGGTCTTTCGACCAATCACCCAGTGGAGCCTGAAACCCGCCACCCTGTCCTAAGTTCCTAGGCCTTTCTGGGCCCTTCTGGTGCCTCCTGAGAATCTAGTCAAGATGATCAAACAGCGGTAAAAGCGCAGAGATTCTTGAGAGCCATTACCCCAAAAGCCACGGTAGAGACCCAAGAAAAAACAACAACAGGGATGATGAAGGCCGCCCTGCGTAAGGTTTGGGTAAACCTCTTCCAATAAGACTACTGGATTTGAATGGATCTCACTCACATATGTCCAGTGATAGATTCCCTTCAAAGCAAACAGAGGAACATAACTTTTTCTCAAGCAAATGGAAGGTTTCCGGCTGCGTAATAACCACAAAAAAGCTATCTCGCTTGGGTGGGATGAGATTCGGAAAGGGGAGCTCACTTGTGAGCAAAGGGCCAAACGGTGTCTTCCAGTTGGGCATGTGTCAAAATAGAGATTTGCGCCGCAAAAAATGGCTTTTGCCCTTTGGGTTGCCCTGTAACACCTCCCCAACACGGGAAACTTCACAAAACTATCGCGCCCGTTTGCGACTACGTCCCCTAGAAAACATATACATATGCCCAGTGATAGATTCCCTTCAAAGAAAGCAAAGGAACATAACAATTTTCGTTTTGTTCAAGCAAATGGAAGGTTTCCGGCTGCGTTGTAATCAGAAACAAAAACACTTCTACCTGGGGGATCCCCTCAATCAGCCGGTAAAACTTGCCTTTTGTATTGGCCCAAATGTGTTCTTTGAGGGATCCCGTGTTTTTGTTTACCGCTAGAATGGTCTTCCCAAACAGTATATATGGATATGGGTCAAACTTAAATTAGCAGGGGACCGCAGGGTTTTGTCCGTGGGTCCAGTTTCCAGGTGTCCATGTTGGAAAGCAATTTTTGACCCACAGCACTATGGCATCTCACCTGAGTGCATTGGGCCAGAATAGTCCCGAGGTTTTTGCTTCCCACTAAGATGGCCTTCCTAACCAACGGAGCGAGGGAATTTCCGGGGTGGTGGAAAACCACGACTCCAAAATAATACTTTCAGATTCTGTTTCATATTTAGTCTACCCTAAATCACAACATGTGTTTGGAGTTTGGAGGAGATCCCAGTGAGGTTTTTCAAGCGACCATACGGACCCCACAAGGACCACCCCAGGTCGACTCCGCTTCCGCCTCCGCTTCGTCGCTGGCTCGGGCCTTTGAGGGATGGGGAACTGCGGGGAGGAGCCCCTCAGCCAAAAGACGTGAGGACAAAATGACAAAATCCGCTTTGCACCAGATGGTAGGTGGTTTATCACGGTCGTACGTAGTCCATCCACTGATTCAGAATGTTGTTCCATGTTTGCTTCCCGTCCATATTTAGTGAACCTTAAAACAACAAAATACTTTCAAAGCAGGCCCAGAGACCGTCCAAGCAACTTCGTCGTACGGGCGGCTGGCGGTTACAGCAATGCTTGATCTTTTCAAAAACCGACCTTACTAAGAGCCGCCCCAACCATGACCATCTGGCATAAGGGTTAAGGACTGGTTTGTGAGGCACCCAGCCAAGTAGCAATTCGATAGTTCATTTGGTGTGATTTAATGAGGGTACCCCTTTCAGCTTGGTTCTTTCAGGACACCGACAGGAACACCAAATCTCCCAGCAAGGCCGGCTCCGCATTGCCCACTGCCGATGTCAGCTGGTCTCCCAGCTCTGGCTACTGCATTTCAGGGTGACCGCTGGGTAATGATGGGTATGTCACAATGTGTCACAGGATGACCCCTAACATGGATGGCTTCCCTTTGGTGTCCTTTTAAAGTAGCACGACGTTTGCATTTCCATGCGTGCCTTATCACGCGTATCATGCGTAGCAGCACCTGCATTGACGAACTGCTCCCTCGCCGGCTTCCTTGTACCTTACGAGCGCCAGCGGGACCAGGGCAAGCCCGGATCACTCGCCGCGCGGCGGAATCATTGGCGGCTCGGGTGAACCCAGAGGCGGCCCGTGAAGTCTGCGCGGTTACTGCAGAATCCCAACGTCGTCCGCATATTGTGAGGCCCGCGTGGCCAACGGGTTTGCCGCTTTTTTCTCATCCGGAAAATGCACGTGTTCTTGTTGGCACCTATGTCAGCATTCTTGAGTCCGCGTGTTGAGTCTTGTTTGGTTGAAATCTGGTTGACATGCGCTCACGCGAGTGTTGTATTGCTTGTTGAATCCAGGGTAATTAGCACTGCAGTGATTCCTGCCTTCACTGAAATGGCTCGGCTGCTTCCGGTCGGCTCCGTTGTCTTTTCGCCCGCCCATCCTGGGCTTTTTGGCTTGCCCGAACTGCTCCAGTCAGACCCGTTGGTGGCCGGACAACAACGAAAGGACCTGCCAATGTCCTGGCGAAACATGGGTTGCTCAGGTCGAGGGTTGGACCAAGTGAAGTTCAGCCACAACCAAGTTACCATCGGAGAAGAAGGCCCCTGGCCTCTTTGTCCGGGACTCACAGACATATCCCAATGGGTTTAGGCCTTGCCGTAAAGGGTCATTTTCCGTCTAGCAAGCCTTACTGTTCAGCTGTACCCAACATGGCAAATTAAAAGGGCGGAACATCCCCTTTACTTACCGTCACTTACCGGCGGAGATCAACTCATACTCAAGTGTATCCCAGCACGGACATCCCACTGTCCCTTCCCAAAGTAAGCAAACAGGGCTTCTTGATATCCGCCATGGGTCAAAATCCCGTACGCCCAGTGAACACCCAAATCCCCACTAAAATAAGTTCTAAAATGGGTGGTGCACCGACCCCAAAATAGCACCATTGGTTTTGGCCCACATATCCGCGCTTGGCAAAGAATCAAAGGGTATGGCCTACCCGGGTTTTCATCGGAGTGCTGAGTCCCGGGCTCGCTCAGCTCCCTCAGTCGGAGCAGGGTCCAAAACCCCCAGACCTCCAGTCCACGCGGAAACCGGCTTGCTTCCCCATGCTCTTCATCTATCGTTCTCTGAAACCACAAACTTGCCCAGGAAACCTAGAAAGACCACTGAAACATTGAATCTGAACGCAAACGACCTCTCGGAGTGTCCAATCTTCGTTTGAACCCCCAAATCTTGAATTTGTTTGTCCAACCAAAGAGTACCCAGTTTTGACTCTCAACGACAAATGCACTAAAATTCGGCTCGAGCAAAGTCTGTTGACCATGTCTCTCAGGAAAAGCTACATTCCTGCATCTAGTCCTCACCATGAGAGTGGGAACTGGGTTGCCATCAAAGGACTTGCAGGTCGGAATCCCATCCCCCCAATTCTATGTTTGAGGCACCTGAAGACAGAAAGCCCAATTAAAATGTAGTAAAAAAGGGACGCCCTTGTAAATTCCGATGGTTTGTGGCAGGGATACTTGCATTGTTAGGGCATCCTCCGTCACCGTATCTACCAGAAATCCCACCAGGGAACCGCTCTCGTCATAAGCTTGGCATTCTTTCGATTCGGAGACAGCAGCTGCAGTATAAAGCTTATTGAGAACATCCCAGCTGTAACCTCAGAATCAGCTTGGCGCAAGAAACTATGTAAAACAAAAGCCAACCATGCAGAACAGGACCCGGTTTTGTCGTTTTGTCGTTGCTTTCTTGTTTTGACAACCCCCTTCTGCTTTGGTGACCGGTGCCTCAGCCCTTGTTTTGGGGGCGAGTTGGGAATGAACTGGCGCTGTTGCTCCCTGACAGCCCGACACTGCCCGCTAACACTGGCCATCTAGGCCGAAGGCTCAAACGATCGCAAGGGTTACTGACGGTGGCAAACCAACAGTAGGCGCCAGCAGATCAACAACAGGTCGGCTTCAAGCAAGTGAAGATGATATTCCTGCTTATTCGACTAAGGTTTCCTCCTGCAAATTTACATGTAATCCCTAACAACCATGACGTGTATGTCGAGGAATCTCGTGCTCAGGAACCCCTCAAAGGGTTCATTCGATTCATTTGCAGGGGAGTCTTAACAGGATCGGCCTCCGGCCAAGACTTGTGGACTTCCACGCGAACAAAGGCAACCCCCTCACTGCCTGAATGGATTGGCCAAAACAAGTCTCAACTTTTTGTGAACCACTAAAATCATCGTCCCAAAACATGACGATCAAGTCCAGTGGTTTGGGACTGTGGGGTTCCCGCAGGGGCGGTCTCCCAGAACCTTCTGGAGCAAAGGTCTTCGCCCTCCAAAAGCAGCCCTACAAAAAAGAGAGGAAATGCGCTGATGGCGAGCTTCTGCCTTCCAATTCACCCCACAACGGGTCTCCCCAAAGGCCAAACAAAACACACCCAAATCTTAGCCCACTGGGGTACACACAATATCATATATATATATAGGTATATTATGTTGTCTGATTCTGTTTCATGTTCGGCCCCTAAAAAAAAGAAAAACAAAACAAGAACTAGTTCTGGGATCGGAGACCCCCAGAGATGTCTGCCCACGCCTTGCGTGGCCAGTCGGGCACCCCCGCGGCGCGAGCTCACGCTGGTGCAGCATGCTCCAATTCCCCAGCCTCGCGGCAGTCGCCCGAAGTTGGGACCACGATTGAAACCCACGGTTGAAACCATGTCTTGCGGCCGCAAAATCCCATCCTGCCCGGCTTTCTGAGGTGCAGGAGTTCATATACAGTTGGGTGGCTACGACGGCGGGACGACCGGACCACCGCATGGGAAAACAACCTCTGCTTTCTTTGCTTTCTGGCTTTGGCAGAATCGCAACTCCAGCGGAGGGGGGGGGGGGAAAAGTGCGGGCCGTTGGCCTGCCGTTTTTTAAAGGTCCGACTCGGGGCCCGAAAAGCGAGCGAAAACGACAGGAGCCCAAGAAGTGCAACCCCTGACCATGCATTAAAAGGGAAACAACCCCCTGTTTCTGACTTTAGATATTGCAAGGAGAACCAGGGAAACCCCTCACCTCCCGCACTTTACCAGGATTTCTGTGGTGTGGCTCTTCAGTGCCGTCTAAACCAAAACGAAACAGCCCCGTGCGAGGCAGGGCCTCGTCTTGTGGCGCTCCTCCGCCTGCGAGTGACAGCCACGGTCAAAATTACGTGTGGAATTTGGCGTGGAATTCCGCGCATTCCTCCAATTGTCGCTTTTCCAAACGGAAATGCGGGTGTTTTGGACTGAACCTCATTTGGCTGGCAAAGTCGCACTGAAGGAAACTCACCCAATGTCTCCGCCCAATCCCAAAGGACCTGAAAAAGGGTGAATTAACCTTGGGCCATTCAAATGGACCAAACTAGGCATGATTAGAGTTAGGCCCAGTTATAGAATGTATATTCTATTGTTTGCTTCACTTTGAGTCACTGGTAAAAATGTAAAATGTATCCTGAGTCTACCCCAGAAGGACTCAGGAAAACCAAAACGGGTCAAAAGGTCGAGCCGTCCTACCCAGGTACTTCCGCTTTCGAAGACCGGACCTCCGGAGGCCGCGGCTTGGCTTTGGCCTTGCTCTTAGCCTGCGAGCGCGCAGAGAACGGGAGGCTTTGGGTGAAGGGGAAGCCAAACAGAATACCCACACCTTGGAATGGTAGCCACAAAGTGTTTTTGTTTTTGCAGCCCTTCCCACCAATGAACAGAACCAAACAACTGAAAAACATGAGAAAGAACAGGTGTCCACCACGGTGGGAAATACCTTCGGTTCTGTCCGCTCGAAAAACCAGTTGCAGGTTGTCGTTCCGCTAACATAGAATTTGACTCCCCTAACCATCAAAGAGCCTTACTGAGGTGTGCTAAGGCTCTTTAAAGGGGTCATTCCAGGGGGTGGGGTCCAAAAAAGAAACATAAAGCGATTGTTGATTTCTGTGCGCAATCAGCAACCCGGCTCAGTTGCTCATCTCTAATTAGTAAAACAGTTCTATCATAAGGCTTCAATAAACTTACATGTGGCCTTGTGTGGGCTTTGTGAGCCTTACTAACCCCGAACCTCCATGTTCACGCATTTCTTCATCACAAGCTACCCAAAGAAACCTATGTTTAGATTACCGCCTTGGAACATCCTGGACGTTCGGACTCGAGACACGTTTCTTACCCCTCACACATTTTTAGCCTACCCCAGAAAATGAAATCGTTTTGGCGGAGACCCCCAGTTAAGTGCCCCCGTTTTGTCCGCCAACCCAGACCTGGAACGCAAATCTTCGGAGGATATTAGAGCTTCAACCCATTTCTCTCTAAAGCCAACTGGGAAAAACTAAGCACGGCGGCCCACAATAGTTCCATTGAACCTTTGATATGGCCTTGTTTGGCTCATCCCAGGCTTTTCCAGGGATGGACCCCCATAGCCCCCTTGGAGGTCCGTTGCAACTGGTCCAAGATAGGAACGATCGTTCGCTTTCGGACTGCCTTCAAACTCATCCTAAAAGTGAGTCCGATAACAAGAGTTTGCGCATGCTTGTGCAAAATGGTTGCCCCATTTCCGTGATTTGGCTGAGCGGTTGACATCCCTGTAACGATGACTGGCCACGACTACTTGATCACTTCAGATGGGATTTCCCGAGTTTTACAGATTGGGCAGACCGAAGCCCAATTGTCCACATCCTCTTTGCAAGAGATCTCCCCATTTCATTTTGGAACCACTGGAACTAGCCGACATGCAAACTGCAAACAAAATACACAGATCCTAACCAGAAGCACGGGACGCAACCAACCACCTGAATGTGGCCTTGACAACATGCCCGGTCGGGACATGTGTTGAGACTGTTTGCCTTTCGCTCAAAAAAAGCCAAGGGCAATTCGAAGAGGATCTGAACACAAAGGGCCTAAGGTTTTCCGGCTCAGTTTTCATATGCCCACCTTAGAATATAACATAGTTTTGGGGTCAGACCCCAGGAAAAGGGGTTGGTGACCCGTGTTTTGTTGTAAGAACATCCCAAGTCAAAGAGTCTACTCCAACCAAAAAACCAAGGCCCCAAGTACCCACACCCATGGCCTTGGAATTTGTCCCCTAGGAAGTCCAACTTAGGTAAGTGATAAGGCAACCACAGTTTCCCAAGCTGGAAAAATATGTTATAACCTAACTCCCATGGTTTTGGAACCTCTTTTTAGGTTACAACCTACCTGCGCGTTGAGCATCCGAGTAACTTGCCCCGCGCGGGGATTGTTTCCGGAACCGCCTTGCTTTGTACCGGTCCGGCAGGCGGCGCGGCCTGAGAGAGATGGTTGAGTTGAGACCATCCCATGCCAAACCCCCCGTTTTGCACAGAGTGGTTGGGGAGCCCATTCTGGATCTAGCTATTTGCTTCGCATTCCTATGCAAACAAAAAAAAGGCATGTCTACCCCTCGTTGCTAGGTATATCTGTTTTTTGTAGATGCGTGTTCTTGGATGAGTTCTTTTTTTAGCTGGATTTCGGCGAGAGGTTTGTCCCTGAACTGATTGGCCCAGGTGCAGGTCCTTGCAGCCGGGGGTTCTGGACGCCCAGTTGGCGGCCGCGGGGCGGGGGAGGGGGGGTTTCCATGCTATCATTGGAATCATCCAATGCATTTCCCGCCATGTGCATGACATCATGTCAGAGGCTGGCCTTTGCTTCCCGCGGTTACACCGGGTAAACGATAGAAGCCGCGGGAATGAAACTCACCTATAAAATCCTTTACCTTTGTTTACCCGGCCACACATGTATTCTTGGCAACTGGCCGCGACAAAGGAAACAAGAGATGATGAGATGGCAATGAACCGCCAGGTAAGCGATGACACATAGGTTTACCGACCCGAGGGTTCTGGGTTTCGATGGAGTCAGCCATGTGGAAGTCAATTGGACCTTGAGAAAGGTCCACCAGTTCCACGGTCAACTTCCCTTGGAAGATCCTTTGCTTTTAACTCCTCTTGACCCCGGGGTGTGGATTTCCTTTGAAAATACATGACATGTGTAGGAGTAGTTTTGAGGACCCCTCCGAAAATCCGTTGAGGAACCCAGAGAACCGGCCATTTGGGTTGCGGATCCAAGGCAATGACCACAGGTCAACCATTGTTGACTCGATAGTTGAGCGGCGACCAAAACCCGTTGGCTTCTTCTGAGATGCTTAAGATTTATATAAAAATTCCTATCCGGCTTTAACCAGGTAGCTGAACCACCTATGGCCCTTCCGGGGCCCGTTTGGCCGCTGCTCAGTTGTTTCCCTCCCCTCCCAGCCAACCAGGTTATCTTGGTCAGTGATTCATTGGTTGTTTGATACTTGACATAGTGCTTAAAACACGTGAAGAAATGATCTTAAACTAAGCAGATGTCTAAACACAATGTTGTTCATCAAAGAATCACCAATGGAATTGCCGGCAACCGGTGCTCGCCACAAGACAAACGGCACCTGTCGCAATTCCAAGTAATGCTCCGTGTTGTCAGGGTCAGTTCCTACGTGCCTGACTTGCCCTCCCAACAACAAACAGAGTAGCTTCCAATCTCCGATTGGAGGTGGGCTTGAGGGAAATCAAAGGAAACCGCCACTCTCGGGTTGCCCCATTTTGACACATACCCTAGCAGTGGCAACTAAAACAATAATCACTTGCTGCAGTTTGACGGGAATCCTGGGGACCACTCACTCCATTCTTGGCCCAACTCTGAAGTTCCCCCAAAGAACCTTTCTTCAGATTCCGCTTCATGTTTAGTCAATCCCTCAAAACAAAAACATGGAACCCCACTTTCCCTCGCATGCGCCCGCCTCGGTGTAGCCTTGGCCCTGCGCCCTTGCGCCGCACCTGAACCCCAACAAAGACTCCTAAGAAACCACCTGCGACCCTGTTCAGATTTACATGACATGTGTCAGGTAAACACAGGTGCAAGGCCCATTTGGTTGGAATCCCCCAAAGCCCATGAAGTTTCTTTTCATTATCATGATTCAGTGAATTCTGGCAGGACTTCAAGAAGGTGGACACGATTTCGGCGGGGATTTATTGATTTATTGTTCACTTGTTTGGCTAAATGAAGTTATTTCATGAAGTTAACTTCTGAAGCTTCTGTATGGATTTACTGATGTATAGTTCCTATTATTATTATTATTTTCTGTATGTCTGATTCAACTTATTTCAACTTCATAGCCATCTCAGGCCGAGACCACCGAGCCTGACCCCAACGCCGGAGCTGGGGCCTCGACAATTCTCTTCCATTTTGGGGTAGACTAAACAAAGCTATGTTGTTTTCTGTCGGGAACCTCAAGAGTGGTTGGTGGACATAAATCCCACCGAATTTTCATGCCCCCCAAAGGGTCCTCCATCAAAATCACACCCATGTAACGCAGGATCTGAAGGAGCTATGGCAGCTTTCGGTTTGCCAAGGTGCTGTAAGGGCTTTTCTTGCACTATCACGATGCCTCTGCTCAAAGAGACAGACCTCCCGTAGCCTTGTCACGGAGGGACCCTACAGACCACCCCACTCCCCGATTTGGCCTTTGGCCTTGCAGGGGTCATAAGCCTCGAGGGCTTGACGTTGACGCAGTGCAAGGAACCAGCGCATCACTGGCTGGCGCTGTGTAACTTCGTAACATTGACCATATTTTGTTGGAATCAACACCTTTGACAAGACACCCCCCAGGGTTGGGGCCAACGAGCCTGGCCAAAACAGGAGTGGTTCGGGGGTCCTGGACTTCAGAAGGCTCGATCCTTGCCCCCAAACGTCAGCCCAAAATGGACTCGTTTGAAGATAGCCCAGGTGATCTTGCTCATGCGAATCCTGCTTACACTTGCAAGTGCATGCCTACATTCTTGCGCACCATGGCCAGTCTCAAAACGGAATTTTGGCTTCGCCGACACTGGGCGAAGTGCTGTTCCGTCTTGAAGGCTCCAGAAAGGGGTCGCCATGTGTATGACGGACCCAGCCACCCCTCAGACCCCAGGGGGAAGTTATCCCACAAACAGTGGAAAAGGCAAACCATGGGTGAAGGCGCGTGGAGGGGGCTCATAGAGATGTTTCCCCTGCCAAGGCGCGTAGGGCAGAAGTTGAAGCCCGTCTGTGGCACACCGCAGCCGCACATCTGGCCCCCAAGACCACATCAACGCTCTGATTTAGATCTGCCAAAAGTCTGAGTCAACATCATTTGTTTGTCCCTTCTTGGTTTTAAAGGGAACCTACCACTGGAAATAGTGGTTTTGTTTGTTTTTGTTTGTTTCTCCAGGGGGGCAGCAAATGGAAGGCTTGCCCATGAAAGAAATGAAGGAAAGAGACAAGGGAAAACGAGCTACATGGGCCAAGTCTGGATGTCAACTGAGGCCCCACCCAGTTGCAAAACTGGGAAACACATAGGCCCCCCGCGTTGTATCCCCTTGAAACATATTACAGCGACACCGGTTTCGAAAGCCTTGTCAAGACCAAATGAGGTCAAAGGCCAAATGTGGGGGTCGTTGGCGGGGGCTTTCTTGTTTTGTTGGGGGGGTGGGGGACGCATACTATGCGTACAGAACCCTGATCATGAGTTTGATGTGCATGCATGTGTGCGCTTCCTACAAAAAGAAACCTCTTTGTTGCAAGGGTTTAAGGCAACTCCCAGATACCCATGACAAGGCTTCGAAATTTTGGGCAACGGCCACTAGATGCCCGTGGCCCTCAAGAGGAAAGGTTCCACCGAGATGGTTCTCAAGCTTTTGATAGGTCGCCCCACCATTACTTGCCACCAACGTCCCTAACACAACATCACATTGTTTGCAAGCCCAACACCAATTGCGTTATGTTTATACCATCTACCAAGATGGTTCTAATAATGGTTTATCTGGCGGGGCCTATTGAACCAGGTATTTGGTAGAACCACCAAGTGGCTGCTATGATTGCTCGAATAAGGCTTTCCACCTTACCCTTGGGAGTTCTTGTTCCCCGACAGCTGAAAGCTTTGGGGTCTCAGCCCAGACAGGCTCCGGGGTGGTCCGGGGCAGCCCTGAGGTAAGGTTCCACGAGGGTTCCACCAGGGTTCCACCAGGGTTCCACGAGCTTCTGCAAGGGCTGTGGGGCGGTGCGAGCACTAAAAAGAGAGCACTAAAAAGAGCTCCGCATGCTGTTGGGGATATCACCCGAGCTTATTTTTTCCCCATGGCTGAAAGCTTTGGGGTCTCAGCCCAGATAGGCTCCGGGGTGGTTCGGGGCGACCCTGAGCTGAGGTTCCACCAGGGTTCCACCAGGGGTTCCACCAGGGTTCCACCAGGGTTCCACCATCGTTCCACCAGGGTTCCACCAAGGTTCCACCAGGGTTCCACCAGGTTCTGCAAGGGCGGGGTGGTCCACGAGGGTTCCACCAGGGTTCCACCAATTTCTTCGAGGGCTGCGGTTTTGAGGAAGGTTTCACGAGGGTTCCGCCAGGGTTCCACCAGGGTTCCAGGCTGCGGGGTGGTCTGGGTGGTTTGAGGTAAGGTTCCACGAGGGTTCCACCAGGGCTGCAGGGTGGTCCGGGGTGGTTTGAGGTAAGGTTCCACGAGGGGGTTCCACCAGATTTCCAAGAATTTCTTCGAGGGCTGGGGTGGTCTGGTTTGAGGAAGGTTCCACAAGGGTTCCGCCAGATTTCCACCAGAATTCTGCCAGGGTTTCACCAGGTTCTGCGAGGGCTGCAGGGTGGTCCGAGGTGGTTGAAGTAAGGTTCCACGAGGGTCCCACCAGGTTTCCACCAGGGCTCCACCAGCCCGTCGTGCTCCGGACGAGGCGGGGAAGGTTCCACGAGGGTTCCACCAGGGTTTCACCAGGGTTCCACCAGCAGTCCGGGCTGGTTTGAGGTAATGTTCCATGAGAATTCCACCAGAATTTTGCAAGGTAAGTCCGGGGTGGTTTGAGGTAAGGTTGTATGAGGGTTTCAGGGTTCCACAAGATTCTGCGAGGGCTGTGGGCCCTGAGGTTTTCACAGGGCCACACGGGTCCCACAAGGCTCCACAATGCTCCACCATGTGTGTCGTGCGCCCGTCGTCTGAAAAGCCATCGGATCAAGATCGCTTTGCGGGCGGAACACTAAGCAAAACCGAAATCAATGGTTTTTAGCACACTTTCACTGTTTTGTGACTTGCTCACTTGCTCAGGCAAACGTTGGCTTGGTGGCAACTCAGATCACGTCGCTGCGGAACTCACGGCAGAGTAAATGCTTGGCATTGCTGCTTGGTGGGCTTTGGGTTCCAAGAATTCCACGAGGCTGCGAGGGCTATGAGGTCAGAAGGTTTCCACCAAATTCTGCAAAAGCTATGGGGCAGCCCTGAGGAAAGGTTCCAGCAAAGTTTCACGCTGAGCTCCACGAAAGTTGCGTGATTGCGCCATCGCGCCCCGATCGGGGCCCGACTCCGTCGGGCCCCGTCAATTGTACCAAGCTGGCATAATAGAAACAGTTGCAATCCGCATACTAAGGAAAACCGGCGTTCAGCTATAATATGGGTGGCTGGGGTTGCACCACGGGACGATCGGGGCCCGATTGCACCGTCGGGCCCCGATCGGGCCCCGATTGCACCGTTGGGCCCCGATCGGGCCCCGATTGCACCGTTGGGCCCCGATCGGGCCCCGAGCCGTCGGGCCCCGAGCGGGGCCCGACTCAGTCGGGCCCCGTCAATTGTACCAAGCTGGAATCGCCTAGTTTAGATACAGTTGCAATCCGCATGCTAAGGAAAACCGGCGTTGGCTGGGGTTCACCACGGGACGATCGGGGCCCGATTGCATCGTCGGGCCCCGATCGCGCTCCGATTGCACCGTCGGGCCCCGATCGGGCCCCGATTGCACCGTCGGGCCCCGATCGGGCCCCGATTGCGCCGTCGGGCCCCGATCGGGCCCCGATTGCACCGTCGGGCCCCGATCAGGGCGAGATTGCGCTGTCACTCGTAGCTTTGCTTTACAAGGCGGCATCACCGGCGGTAAGGATGGTCCCGGAGCGTTCCACGAGGGTGTGGTGCTGTTGGGGATATCGCCCGAGCTTTATTTTTTAGGGTGTGTGTGGTCCCTTTGGGTCCTTGACTCGACCATCTTCACTAGAGCGAGCAAAAGCATCCTGTACTCTCTGGGGAGTCAAAAGGCCGTAAGAAAACCACGGAGACCCTCCGTTTGGCTGCCAGCATTTGTCCTGCAACTGGGCCTTCATGTTCGAGGCCTTTGACCAGGGCGGATGGACCTCATGGGACCCAAACCCCAGACCCCCTCGACCCCCTCCAAGGCAGAGCAATGCACTCCCAGTTGGCCGCCCAACCGCTGAGTTGCTGTTGGCAAAGCGGGCCCTTTCTTTCGCTACAGTCGGGTGAAAGTAGATTCTTAGAAGCCACAAAGCATTTGGTTTTGGTTTAGTCATCCTCTTTACTTCCCCTGGGATTTCGCGGTCTACTTTCACCAGGGAAGGCCAGGTTTGGATTGGCCTCAAGACTCGGGCACGTCACCGAGCATGGCTCCCAAGGCGATGCGGCACTGAATCTTTTTCGACCCTTTCGGGGAAATCCCCCACAAAGAATAACACAACGGGTTAAGGCAACTTGGTATTTGCTTCTAGAAAGATGGTTTTGCACCCCGTCACCCACCAAAGTAATCTAAATTCCCGCTAAGGGGACAACTCCCAATCAAAAATCAACCACTGGATTGAAAGTTCGGGGTTCCCATTGGTATGGTGAAGGGGTCCAGAGGGAGGGTTTGGGGGGGTGGGTGGTCTTCTCGGGTCGTCACTTCCACGCCTCCTCATTCGGCCCACGCGCTGAAGGTCTGCCTCCTTTAAGGTCGCACGGAGAAAGGGGGCCATGTACCAGCCTGGGGGAGATGGTGCCCCGAAGATGTACAACCCATGTTTATGATGGCATAAATATCTAATTGGGAAACCACAAGTGTATAACATATATATATATATATATACACATACAGGAGCAAAAACACATATATCGCTCTCTCAGAGGTGCTACTAGTGGGTGAGTCATCCCGGGTTCCCGTGCCTGGCTTAACTTTGGGTAGCCTTGCCTCTTCTGGAAACGGGCTTCCTTGACTGGTTGCCATGCCAATACTCCCCTTCAAAACGGAAGGAACCCGGCCCGAAAGGAATTTCCTCAATTTTTCTCAACAGCTGAAAGCTTTGGGGTCTCAGAAAGCTTTGGGGTCTCAGCCCACATAGGCTCCGGGGTGGTCCGGGGCGGCCCTGAGAGGGTTCCACGAGGGTTCCACCAGGGTTCCACCAAGGTTCCACCAGGGTTCCACCAGGGTTCCATTAGGGTTCCACCAGGGTTCCACGGGGTGGTGCGAGCACTAAAAAGAGTGCCGCATACTGTTGAAAAATATCACCTGAGCTCATTTTCTTTGTAAGGTTCCATGTTGCTCTGGCGAGTCTGAGTGAAGTTTCATGAACCAAATTGCTAGGTGTCCTTTCAGTTTCCCTTTAAAACCAACCACAAAGGGGAATCCCAAGAAAAAAGCACGCCTCAAAACCAACAAATGACCCTCCCTTTCACTATCATTTGAGGTGACAGTCCATTAGGAGAAGCACGGTCTTTCAAGCTGCTCCAGCATGTCTTATGGGGAAACCTTATGGTGGTCCCGCTGGCTTCCCTTCGTTTACCAACCCCAGTGCACCCTCTGGTAAATGCCCAAGTTATGGTTGCAACCCCAAGTATAAACTCAAAGTCTGTACATCATATTTCGGTATATCAGCTCAGATCCAGAAGGAAGAACCTGCAGCCCCAAAAATCAGAATGCTTACGAACGGAATCTCCTTTGGAAATGGACCGCCTTTTTTGGGTTGCAGGCAAGTACCAAACAATATCAACTTAGCTTGATCCTTTCTGGCAATACCAGGGGCTGAATATACCTTCTGGTTATAATGGGGCCGAGGTTAACTGGTCCTACGATCTTGCTTTTCCGTCCGGGACGACATCCTCTTCTGGGCTGCCTTTTCACCTGAGACAATCTGTCTCCACTTGTGTAGCTGAATTGCTATCGCTGTCGATGTCCTGATTCGAGGGATACGGCGTAGGGTATGATGCGAAGCACACATGGGGCACACCTCACCTGATGGCGTGGTGCAGAAAGCCTCCGCAAACGTCACACCGATGCATGTGCTTTAGCTGGTGATTGAGCGTGGCCCTTCTTCGTCTCATCCCCATCAGGAAGCTGACCCGCTCGTGACGTGACGCTGTCCCTTGGGGCCCCTTTCTCCCGGATTTCTCCCCTGCCTGGTCGCAGCCAGAACCCCAACGATTTGCGTTAGGTCAGGGGATAAGCAGTAGCTCTTGCCCTCAGCCGCGCCCCATGGGTCTGCCTGAGACTTGAACCGGGAATGCGGGCAACTCAGTGCCTGGTAGTGGGTACCTGTCAGGCTCACAGGTGTGCACAGGTAGGCACAGGCGCTCGGTGCTAAACGAAGACCTTGCAGCCAAAAACTGTATAGTCATGACTAAATGCTGTTTGAAAGTACTCCACATCCCAATTCCAAATATTGAGGCTGTACCCGAAAACTTTCAGCGGTGTGGATTTGCTTCGCCAACTGCCAAGCTGTAGCCTTGGCCCATGCTACCCCAACCATGTGAGCTCGTATTTCGTCTACCCCAAAACAGTTGCAATTGTGGAAACAGACACGGACCAACATCTTCCACATTACATATATAACATCTGGCCAACCTAGAATAGTTCACCAGCCGAAAATAAGGGGCCCTATGAAAGGATCCTTCATGGGCGATGTCGAACCAAAGCTTAGTGAGGTCACTAAATCGCGGTGTTTCTGCAAATGGAGCTAGAAAGGTCGGTTTCCTATTCGTTTCCCTTCAAATACCAACAGTGGGTTGAAGCACCATAAGAACCTCCCACATCTGTTTGGAGACCGCAGGAACTCTCCAGTTGCCCAAATGACCCGGGCCGACTGGGCCCAAAACGAGGAACAATTTTCTGGCTCAGATCCGGTCGATTTGCCCAAGTACTCCCCGCGGGGCTCCTGACTCCGCCTGTGTCACGGGCTCGCGAAGCTCCGCTGCGCGAATCTCGCGGGCCACGGGCTCCCGAGCCGCCGGAGAAAGAGCCGCTGGCTCCATCGGCCGCAGGGTGGTCTGGCGAGATTCGAGGGATCCCGGACCCCCCCAAACAAAAACGCAAAACAACTCACCCAGCCCCTACCCGTTGGCAATATGTATCGAACCTTATTAGTTTACCCCTTTCAAGGGGGAAGAGGGTTATGTTGCAACCTACGATCTCTTTGGAGGCTATTTCAGCTCTGAGGGGAGGGGGGGTGGGTCGCTTACTGCTCAACATCCTTCCTGTTGGCGTGCGTGCGTGCGTGCGTGCGTGTGTGCGTGCGTGCGGGTGCGGGTGGGGGTGGGTGTGGGCGTGGGCGTGGGTGTGGGTGTGGGTGTGGGTGTGGGCGTGGGCATGGGCGTGGGCGTGGGTGCGCGTGCGCGTGCGCGTGCGCGTGCGCGTGCGCGTGCGCGTGTGCCTGTGCCTGTGCGTGTGCGTGTGCGTGTGCGTGCGTATGGGCGTGCGCGTGCGCGTGTGCGTGTGCGCGTGCGCGTGCGCGGGCGCGCGCGCGCGCGGGGGCGCGTTCGCATGCGCGCGTTCGCGTGCGCGTGGGCGTGGGGTGTGGCGTGCGCTGCGTGCGCGTGCGCGCGTGTGCGTGCGCGCGTGCGCGCGTGTATGTGTGCGCGTGTGCGCGGGGGTGCGGTGCGCGTGTGCGCGTGTGCTCGTGTGCGCGTGCGCGCGTGCGCGCGTGCGCGGGTGCGCGTGCGCGGTGGGCGCGTGTGCGTGTGCGCGCGAGCGCGTGTGCGCAGTGTGTGCGTGTGCGCGTGTGTGCGCGTGCGTCACGTGTGCGCGCTTGCCGTGCGCCGCGCGTGCGTGTGCGTGCGCGTGCGCGTGCGCGTGCGCGTGCGTGCGTGCGCGCACTGTGCGCGTGCGCGTGCGCGTGCGCGTGTCGCGTGCGCGGTGCGCGTGCGTGTGCGTGTGCGTGTGCGTGTGCGTGTGCGTGTGCGTGTGCGTGTGCGTGTGCGTGTGCGTGTGCGTGTGTGTGTGTGTGTGTGTGCGTGTGCGTGTGCGTGTGCGTATGCGGGTGCGGGTGCGGGTGCGTGTGTGTGTGTGTGGGTGCGTGCGTGGGCGCGTGTGTGCGCGTGTGTGCGTGTGTGTGTGTGTGTGTGTGTGTGTGTGTGCGCGTGCGCGTGTGTGTGTGTGAACCGTCCTGGAACACGGACGTTAAACCCTTCGGAGTTTTTCTGAGCAGAGGGGCAATCCCGTGAGCATAGCTGGTTGCCCAACGAAGAGGGCTATGCCACGGCTGATACGGAGTCTGATCAACTCCGCGTACCTGCATCATTTGAGTGACTCTGAAAGTCTTTTTGACCCTCTTCTTTTGCGGTTCCTGTTTGTCGCTGTTGCTTCCTGTTCGGCGTCGATGTTGTGACCTGTTGCTGCATTTGCATTCAAGCATTTTTACTGACTGCGGTTTTCATCTCGGCTAGTGAAGCCTCTCGAGATAAGTGTGTTTCCCACGGCCTGTCCGACATGGCGCTGTGGGCTGGACTCGCCATATGCGGGAGCCCCCTGCAAGGGGATGACGTTCAAAAGTTCACGTTCAGTTCACCTTCGCATTGCACTGCCTGCCTTTTGAACAAGGCAGCTCTCATGAGGTATCAGGCTCCGGCAGCTTCATTCGCATTGCACTGCCTGCCTTTTGAACAAGGCAGCTCTCATAAGGTATCAGGCTCCGGAAGCTTCATGCGCGAGTGACAAGCCGGTCAGACACCGACTTTGCAGTTCATTGATTCACGCACTGCGCTGTTCGTTTCCCACGGCCTGTCCGACATGGCGCTGTGGGCTGGACTCGCCATATGCGGGAGCCCCCTGCAAGGGGATGACGTTCAAAAGTTCAGTTCAGTTCACCTTCGCATTGCACTGCCTGCCTTTTGAACAAGGCAGCTCTCATGAGGTATCAGGCTCCGGCAGCTTCATTCGCATTGCACTGCCTGCCTTTTGAACAAGGCAGCTCTCATAAGGTATCAGGCTCCGGAAGCTTCATGCGCGAGTGACAAGCCGGTCGGACACCGACTTTGCAGTTCATTGATTCACGCACTGCGCTGACTCAGATCAGTTCAATTCACTTTCACGATCAGGTGACACCTTGACTTGATTTGATGCGATGTCTTGCTTTAACATGCATCGACAAGGCAGCATTTTCAAGGGGGGCCTTGTGTGTGTGAACCGTCCTGGAACACGGACGTTAAACCCTTCGGAGGTTTTATTCTGAGCAGGGGGCAATCCCTGAGCCATAGCTGGATGCCCAACGCAGAAAGGGCTAAGCGCACGGCTGGTACGGATCTGATTCAACTCCGCGGTACCTGCATCCATTTGAGTGACTCGTGAAAGGTCTTTTTGATCTCTTCTTTTGCGGTTTCTGTTTGTCGCTGTTGCTTCCTGTTCGGTGTCGATGCTGTGACCTGTTGCTCTGCATTTGCATTCAAGCATTTTTACTGACTGCGGTTTTCATCTCGGCTAGTGAAGCCTCTCGAGATATGTGTGTTTACCCACGGCCTGTCTGACATGGCGCTGTGGGCTGGACTCGCCATATGCGGGAGCCCCCTGCAAGGGGATGACGTTCAAAAGTTCACGTTCAGTTCACCTTCGCATTGCACTGCCTGCCTTTTGAACAAGGCAGCTCTCATGAGGTATCAGGCTCCGGCAGCTTCATTCGCATTGCACTGCCTGCCTTTTGAACAAGGCAGCTCTCATAAGGTATCAGGCTCCGGAAGCTTCATGCGCGAGTGACAAGCCGGTCAGACACCGACTTTGCAGTTCATTGATTCACGCACTGCGCTGACTCAGATCAGTTCAATTCACTTTCACGATCAGGTGACACCTTGACTTGATTTGATGCGATGTCTTGCTTTAACATGCATCGACAAGGCAGCATTTTCAAGGGGGGCCTTGTGTGTGTGAACCGTCCTGGAACACGGACGTTAAACCCTTCGGAGTTTTTTCTGAGCAGGGGGGCAATCCCGTGAGCATAGCTGGTTGCCCAACGAAGAGGGCTATGCCACGGCTGATACGGAGTCTGATCAACTCCGCGTACCTGCATCATTTGAGTGACTCTGAAAGTCTTTTTGACCCTCTTCTTTTGCGGTTCCTGTTTGTCGCTGTTGCTTCCTGTTCGGTGTCGATGTTGTGACCTGTTGCTCTGCATTTGCATTCAAGCATTTTTACTGACTGCGGTTTTCATCTCGGCT